TCTTCATTTAAATACTCTGCAAAGGCTGTAATAACTCTTTTACGGATGTCATCATCTATTTTCTCTTCCACCCCTCTTAATCTTAGATATGTCTGCATAGCTCTATATTCCATCATTGTGTCTATCCGTTTATTTTCTTTCACCACAGTTTCCACTTTCTGGTCTATATCTTGTGTTTTTCTCTCTATTTCAGCAGACTTCTGTGCCAAACCTTGAAACTCCTTTTTCATTTCTCCCATCTCCTTTTTAAGGTCAGCCACTTCTGACACTACCAGCTCTTTCATTGTGGCCATATTTTTTTCTTGAACCTCCTCCATATGTTTTCCCTAATCTTGTATAGCATCCATCATCCTCTTTTCCATAGCTTCCATTGCTGCTTGCCATTCTTTATCCTTAGCCTTCGTCATCTTCGGAGTCGAGAACGACGCAGCTCTCGGTCTCTGTCTTAAATCCGTTATTAAAAGCTATCAAGTCTCTACCACTGACACAGTTCGATTGCCCTTTATGCGCTTAACCAAACTGCACTATTTACTTCTTTCAAATGTCTAATCCTGGTCGAAAAATTGAATTTTAAAAATTAGTCCTCCCAAAAATGTCGGGCTTTTTTCTCTATGGTTCTACAATGCAGAGTAGGCTTTTCTCTTTCACTTCCAGTCCATCCGCTTATTCGCTCCTCTTCTTACCTTCCGGCGTCCCTCCTATCTTCCCCCTCTTCTTCCTGTCCGTCTCTTTTACTGTCCAATCTTCGTCCGGTCCTCCAGGTTCTTGTCTAGCCGCAGTCCTGCATCTCTTTTGCATTCTCTCTGCTTCACTCCCGGAACCCCGCCTTTTTAATCTCTTTCAGTTCCTCCCCTTCTCTTGTTCTCGCGATTTCTTAAGCGTAAGTTTTTGTCTCTTATCTCTCTTGCTGCCTCAGGAATGCTAAACAGTTTTCTTTTTATTGAAATTTCGCTTCATTTATCCGCTTTTTTTGTGTCCAATTTTCCTCAATTGTTATTAAAGTTCATCATCGCTCATCCGGATAAATCTAGATGCGCTTTCAGCTGTCTCCCGGTAAGTAAAATCGTAATCGTTACCTTGATTGTTTATTTCTGGTTTTCGCACTGTCTCCGTCGCTCCAAATTTTCCCCCTTTGTTTCATGAAGTCAGGAAATGGTGATTTTATGCTGATAACTCAGCCCGGTGTGCTCCTTTAGTGCTGAATGCAACGCCCGCTTCTGGAGAGGGGATCAAAGTGTAACACAAGCCTCCTCCGAGGCTTGATCACACCAATCTCAACTCTCTCTTGGGTCTTGATGCCTGCCAGTCATTCCCCCTACCTGGGGGAAGCCGCATTGGACTGAATAACTGTCCAAACTGCCATAAGGAACCACTGTCCACCCTGAGCACTTTCAGGGTGCGTCAAATCGCCATTTTTCCCTGACTGGAAGCCCAAAAACTAACATCTGTTGACAAGAGACTGAAGGCTTTGATTGAGATTTCGGTATTCTAATCCCATTGCACAAGTCTGCTATGGGTTAGATGGACAACTTTACAATATAATTTCCCTACCACAGGGAGTGTGTCAGGGGTGTGTGCTGGACCCTCTATTGTTTAATGTATATATCAATGATATGATTTCTGCTGTCTCTACCCAGGACTGTTACTCTTCATCCATTGGTAACATTAATGTTTCTATCCTACTTTTTGCTGGTGATACAGTTCTGTCAAGAACAACATTCAGGAGTGTCCTCTCTGATAGATGCTTCTGTCTGTTATTTTTTTTAAAAAAATATTTATTTATAATCAGATTTATACTCCACCCTCCCCGCAAAGCAGGCTCAGAGCAGCCTGTCTGGAAGAATGCCTGATAGTTAACTATCAAAAATCCAAGATAGTTGTTTTTTGGGAAAAAATCTCATGTACACTACAAGTGGAAAATTCATGGTAATGATATTGATGAAGTCCCCCTACTTCAAATACGTTTGGGTTTGGTTTGCCCTGAGATTAACGTGGTCAGTGCAAGCTGCTCATGTTAAAAGATTGGCTACAGTGACATCAAATATTATCTGTTGTTTCTTTTATTCATCTGGGGCTCAGTATATCCCAGCTGCTACCAAACTGTTTAATACCAAGACCAGGGGTCATTTCATAGAAAAAGAGGTGCAGGAGCTCATTAGTATAACTCACTAGCATAACTTATTTGCATATGCAACACCCCCTGACATCATCGGAAATGTGGCAGAAGGCAACACCCACTGCTCAGGCTCCACTGGACTGTTTTGGATTCCTAGCTATTTTTTTTTGGGGGGGGGAACGTGCAGATCTGTCCTCGCAGAGGAGGGAGAGCTTGTACCTGAATAAAACTTGGTCTTAAAGGTGCCACTGGACTGTTTTGGACTGGGGGGTGGGGGTGGGGGCTCTGCAACTTACCTGGCTGCTTCTTGCTCTGACTGAGGGCTGCTGGGAGCAGGCGGTGGGGCTTGTTTGGTGTAGTGGTTAAGTGCATGGACTCTAATCTGGGAGAACCGGGTTTGATTCCCCACTCCTCCACTTGCACCTGGCTGGATGACCTTGGGCAAGCCATAGCTCTGGTAAGAGCTGTTCTTGAAAAAAGAGCAGTTTCTGTCAAGAGCTCTCTCAGCCCCATCTACCTCACAGGGTGTCTGTTGTGGGGAGGGGAAGGGAAAGGAGTTTGTAAGCCGCTCTGAGACACCTTTGGGTACTGAAGGGCGGGGTATAAATCCAATCTTCTCCTCTTCCTCCTTCTTCTCCTCCTCTTCCTCCTCCTCCTGCCCCCTGGGCTCTTTACTGCCGGAGCTTCGCTCCTGTGCGCTCCTGCAGGAAATGACCCCTGACAAGGCTGTGCAAAGTATATATGGGGCTGGTATCTGGATTGACAAAATAGGAAAGTCCTTCGATTCAGTTCTTCTTAAATTCTTATGTTCCATCTGCAGAATTCCAAATTGTGTAGCGGGAGTAGCCCTCTGAGCTGAATTGGGACAACCATCTCTTAAAGCTTGGGCTTGGCTGAAGGCTTTCCCCCTTAAAATTAAAATTATGCACTCTGACAGCCCAGAGGGCAACCTCAGCTTAGTCAGAGAGGACTCTTAATGTTTCCCACTGGGAAACATTATAACAGTACAATCTGTAGAGCACGATGTATTTGTTCTACTCAATTTGTTGGTATTCTTCCACCTGGAGAGCTTCCCAGCTACTGCTTATATTTGACTGTTCCTCACTATAGATGTTTGCGTGACTTAATACCCTACCATCTAGAGTTTTGCAAGGGAGGTATCTTCAGAGTATACAATTGCGGTGCAGGTAGTGTAGAGACCTTGTATCGCATGACCTTTGAATGTAATTACTTTTCTGAGCCTAGAAATGTTTTAATTTTTCCTTTGTGCTAAAGGAAACATTATAACTTTTATTAGAATATAGTAGCAGACCTATCAGTCTTTTAGCTTAAAAATTTTATGCATCTGTGATAGATTTTCACAGCCATTCAAATAAGGTCTAGCTTTTCCTGTATTTTAGTAATCTGCTTAAAACGAATAACTTATGAAGTAGTATGAGGTAGATAGATAGATCTTTCAATGTATAGTTTGCTTCAAAATTTAGAATTATTAACAGTCAGTTTCCATTCTATTTATAGGCAGATTGTGAGCAATGTTTTTGAGAACCTCCCTGGTGGCTGTAAGCATCCCACCTCCTCTCCTACACCTGACAGGCAGTTGCCTGTCCAGTGTAGGAGGGGGAGGGGGGAGGAGTATTAGAAGTCACTGTGGAGGCGGAGCCAGCAGGATCACTAAGGCGTAACTGCTGGGGCGGTCTCCCTAATGGCTTTAAGTACCCTGCAACCACTGCTGCGCACCTGATAGACAACTGCCTGTTAGATGTAGGAGGTGGGGGGAGTGTGTTGGAAGCCATCCCACCTCCTCTCCTACACCTGACAGGCAGCTGTATGTCCAGTGTAGGAGGGAGAGGGGGGAGGAGTATTAGAAGCCACTGTGGAGGTGGGGCTGCACCTGACAGAAAACTGCCTGTTAGGTGTAGGAGGTGGGGGGAGTGTGTTGGAAGCCATCAGAGAGGCTGGGCCAGCAGCATTACTGCACCTCTCAGGTGGTTGTTGGCCATTCCTGATTTCTTCAACTGTCGTTAGCTGTCTGTAGTCTCCTGTAACTGTTGTTTTTTACCTCAGCACACTGAGCTCTGCAGCTGACCAATCAGAGAGTGGGGGTGCAAGGAGGCAGCAGCCTGGCAGCTACATAAGAATCAATGGGGGGAGCACATTTCCCCCCTTTTGACCCACTTAGGGGTTGAATTTCTAAAAATCCCTTCTTAGTGAGCACCTACATCATGGTAGGAGCACTCTCCCGAAATTTCGTGTTTCTAGGTCCAGCGGTTTGGCCTGGACTTTGATTTTACGGTGAGGGGACTTTTTTTTTTAATATATATATATATAAACACAATTCTTTCTGATGCAAAATTGTAAATAACCTTCAGGTTAGTTCCAGCCAGCTTTTTTGCTCAGTCTTGGTCAATTCTCTATTGCAGCTCCTATTCCACCTGCCTTTCATCCATGCTGTATCATGATTTCAAACAGCACCTTTTTGGTCAAAGGGGACCCATTCCTCCCTTTTTCACCAGTGGAAAACTGGTTCAATCCAACCTTTTGTGTTTCCACTGAGAATTGCTAAGAGACACTACAATAAAATCCTTGCTGAAAATTCTAGGTACTTCAATAAAAGTTCTACACATTATGATGGCCAGATACCTGGGATTTGTCAAGCCCTGTACTAGCCCTCAGTTAAAGTTACTGTGGGCATCATATGGTTCCACTTGTCATCCATATTGTAGATGTCCTCAGCAGGTAGTCCTTTTATTATCTTTATCATATCAATGCATACAGTTGAGAGGCTTGATAATATCTACTCTGGTAAAATACCAAGTGTCTCCTATGTTTGTACAGTCTCTGTTGGTATGTGTATTGATCTTTCTTTCCTGGCTTTCCCCCCCAGGATACAGCTGAGGATATCCATGCAATTGATAGCTGTGAATACATTTGGGAAGCTGGTGTTGGGTTTGCTCATTCTCCACCACCCAGCTACAGCCATGATTTAAATAGGTGAGCAGGGTGAGCTAAAGGTATGGGCATGGGTGATCAGCACTACCCAGAATTAGTGTGAAACAGAATGGTGACGTTCCCAGTGGGCCTTTGCTGAGGGCAACATGCTTGAATTCATACTGTGATGAAAGCTGGGAATGATGATGTTTTAAAGATCCTTGTTCACAGAGGAAAGTCTGTATTTCCTGGTCAATGATGCTTGAAAGAACATGCAAGCCAAGACCTGTTTGATGTTATTGGGAAGCTGTTAATTAATGAAACTGCATGAGCCCATAGTTCTTGTAATGCACAGGCCTTACTTGATTCCTGAATGGCTGTTCTCTTTTTCATCTTTTGCTGTTACCGTTTGTATTCTGCAGATGGGTGGGACCAATCAGGTGACATCACCATGTAATCTTTGTAACTTGTCATTTTAATAGCTGTTAATTGGGATCAGTAGCATGTATTTTGGGGCCTCTTGCTCCAGGTGAGCAGAATGATTAATGCTCCTTCTAGCTTCTTTTAAAATACTTCATTGAAAAACTTACAATGTAAAATGAAACTTACTGCAACAAAACAGGAAAAAGCTGAAACCTCATTATATGTACATTTTCAGTGGTCAAAGAAAGATCCTCCCCAAGCTACTCAATGACTAGTTGAGTGTCAAAATAAGAAAACGTGTTATGTAGCCAGTGAGTGATGAAAGGCTGACAGATTTATAATACAGCCAAGCATTCAAAACAGTCCCTGATATAGCTGCTCACACCATTCTCATAGGTGCACACAGCCAGGCTGCATACATATAGGCAACACCTTTCAGTGTGCCTTCCATTGCCACTGCAAATGCAGAGGCATTCACAGCAGCAGCAGAGTATTTCCCTGGTAGCTTTCCTTACACTTTTTTGGAGAGCTTTTTTTTTTTTTTTTTTTTTAAGCCAGTAATTGATAGGTTGCTATAGCATTAACCACTGGCAGTATGTCAATTGCCAATGTAAAGCAATACTTATATGTCAGTTACCAGTTAAAAACAGAGCCCTTCTTTGGGGCTGGGGGTGGTGGCGGCAGGGGAGAAATGGTGGCTGTGGGAGACAGAGAAGGAAAATGTCACTGTTAGCAGGAGCTGCAAAAAATGCACACTTTTATATCCATGAACTGTATAGTCTTTCCAAAAGTTTGTACCAAACCAGGTTTGGGAGAGATATTAGCAAAGCAGGGGAAACATGGAAAGTGGACGGGTAAGGGACAATGTTGTATGGATGCTTCAAAAAGACCCATTAGTAACATAAAAACAAAGAGCCACACCAGTCACAGGAGATAAAAATAGGGCCAAGGCCTGTGGTGCAAAATCAGGTAAAAATATACCTTATTATTCAGTCCTACTGATCTTTTACTCTTTTTGAAGAACTATTGCAAGATGAATGGATTCCCCTGACAAAGCCTTTTGGCAAAATGCATAGAGAATTTTTGGAAAATTAATTGAGTAATAAAACATATTTTTACCTGATTTTGCACCATTGGCCTCGGCCGTATTCTTATCTCCAAAAAACCCATGCCAGTTTAGACATGCAACTGGAGTGAAATCTCCACATGGCAGCAGCCTAAGACTTTTCATTTATACGCCTTTTCAGGACAGAGCTATTGAAACTTTTGCTGACATGTTTCTCTGAAGTTATGTATCTGCCACCCTCCTCAGACAGCAGCAACACTAACCCCTGGGTCCAGTTCTTCTGTTCCACTGAGAACAGGTAAGAGGTAGTTAACTGCTTGTGATATATCCTTTGTATCTCTTCTGAATTAATTCAAACTATTATCCTTTTATGAAGAATCCTTCTATACCTTTCCTCCATTTTCTTCCCTTTTCTGGTGGTTGCTTTCAAAACCTGTGTGTTCATTACTTCATTACTTTAAGAATGTCCATACTTGCTTAACTTGATCTACAACTCATATGTTTTACCCCAGTAGTAGGGACTTCCCTTTTACAGGAATTTTGAGTTCATTGTACTTCAGTATAAGGAAGGTGAACAGACAAACTTTCCATATGCCTGGCTCGCAGTTGCAGACTCTAGTATTTACCGGAATGGAGACGTCAGACACTTACATACTTTTCTTGCTTATTTTGATTTATATTCTTTAATGCCTGGTGAATACTGCCCTCTTGTGGCAGTTGTATGAATTCCCATTTTTTCGTGTGGCTTACTTCACTTCATTAGGCTTGTTAACTGCTACTGCCTCTGTTGTTTTTAGAAGTTTACTGATTGTTTTCCAGTTGCTACTTTAGTTGACATAATGAATGACTGATTACTGATAGCTTTCCAATTATGCAGTTGAGGTGCTTAACAAAATTCTTATTGAATATTCTTGAATTTTGTAATTCTATATCATATCAATATCAAAACTCACAGTATTTCTGGAATCTCCACTGTGAGGAACACTGAGTGGATTCAAAGTAGAGGAGAGGGTGTCAGAGTAGATGGGAGTTATGTCCTGTGGTAATGCAGAAGAGAAACAGAAATGTATTTCTTCTGTAGAAGTGGGATTCTTGATTTTTGAATCTGTACTGAAGTGCTGAGGTAAACAGGCATAATACATAAATATTCATGAAGAAAATGAGTTACTTCTGTGAAAGCAGAAAGAGGTTTGTTTTTACTCTGCTCTGGACTGCAGGTGTGTTTTTGGAGGTGAGACAAAATAATAAATCATTCAAAGGGAGAAATCGTGTGGTAAACGAAGCGTATGGGCACATCTACACAATCAGTTATCAACATTCTGAATGTCTTTTGTGGATAACTCAAGGCATAATAATAGAGTGACAGAGTAGAATGGAAATCAGGGGCACCTGTTCATTCCTCACATGAATCTCCCTTGTGTATAGATGCAGGGCTATTTTTGGGCAGGAACGCACAGGAACGGAGTTCCGGCCGTCTCCCAAGTTGGCCACACCCAGCAGGAACTCATTAGCATAACAGGCCACACCCAGCAGTAGAAACTCATTAGAATTGGCTACATTAGGGGTGTGTGGCCTAACATGCAAAGGAGTTCCTGCTACAAAAAAAGCCCTGGGTTTTGACAACAAACAAGGTAAACAGGATAAGAAGCAAAAGGTGGGTGTGGCTGGATGACCACACTTCTGGTAACATGGGGGTGCAGCCTAATGTGCGAATGAGCCGTGCTGTCAGGGGTGTGGCCTAATATTCTAATGAGTTTCTGCTGTTGGGTGTGGCCTATTATGCTAATGATAAAAGAAATAAATAATGAGTTCCTGCTGGACTTTTTCTACAAAAAAAGCCCTGTATAGATGTACAGACCAGCTGTGCCCCTGAATGTCATACTTTTCGGCATCAGAACTTAGAAAAAGCATATTCCCATTCCCAGAGGATCTACAGTATATTGTTGTTTGCCCAAGTCCAATGTAAGGATTGTGTCCTTTCCCTATACGAAGACCTTTGTTTGTGTGGGGAGAGGCTTTCTTAGTGTTGCCTCTCCTTACCTACCCATTTCTTAAAAAAATTAAAGAGCAATATGGGCATGCTGGTATTTGTTTGATAGGTGGTGGGGCTTGGTCTCTAAAGCAGTAAAATAAATACACTGTTAAGATCAGGGCTCTAGTCGGGGGGGAGCTCTCAGGTACGGAGCTCCGGAAGAGAACCTCTAGGGGGCGGGGCGGTCACGTGGTGAAGCCCCGCCCCCTTCTTTACCCCGCCCTCTGCTTCGATCCTCATTCCGTTTGGGAATGAGGATGAAGCAGGAGGGTAAGTAGCCGGGCCTTCTGACACACTTCCGGTGATGTCAGGGGGTGTGGCCTTCTGTCACTTCCGGTGATGTCAGGGGGCGTGGCATATGCAAATAAGTTATGCTAATGAGTTATGCTAATGAGCTCCGGCAGCTCTTTTTCTACAACAAGACCCCTGGTTAAGATCATAATAGTGTTTGTTGTTTGTTATTATTATTAATTTGTTGTGGAAAGGATATGTTTTAAAACACATGTGCTGGTTATTACTAACACTGTTACTATCCAGTAGGCAACTGCATTCTGCAATTAAATGAGATCCTTGCAACAGTAGCATGTACTTGAGGAAAGATATAGGTAATAATGGTTTGGACCTGATTTTATGTTGTTGCATACATGGAACATAATTTCATTCATTCAAATGGTTAGGAAGGTTATCCTCAGACAATACCTGAAAGTCGCTTCCCCTCTCCTCTCACTAACCCTTACTGTCTCTGTGGTACATAGGCCTTGCTTCCACACTGCGCTGGATCAATGCTAGTAGAATGTACATCTTGTAGAAAGTTTGGTTCTCTTTGGAAGGCTTTTAGCACTACAGACCTGTTTTCTGGAGTCTTTTTTGAGCATGTTGGATCCTTTTTCAGGCATGCACTACCACTGTTCACTTCCCTCTTGAATATCATCTGTGCTTATGATCCAGTGGGCTACGGGATCCCTTATAACCACTTGCTCTTCTCGGACTATCGCGAACCTCTGGTGGAGCAGGCTGCCCAAGTCCTGATAGTCACATTGGACTATGATACGTCCACCAGCTCCAGTCCTACAGTAGACGGCACTACTACTGGAACGGTTATGGATGACGCAGATGTGAGTGTGTCCCAGATTTAGCTGTGTTTCTCGTCCTTTATGTGGTGGTGATGCTGCCTGCTTTTTCCAAAGAAGTTTGTAGATACATATATATATGGAATGTGATATAGAACAGGAAAAAGAGTTCTGGCTAGAAATGTTCATTAGCGTGTATTACGACAGTACCCTCAAACTGCAAAGACCAGAACAGTCTAAATCTGTTTATCTGGTTAGGGGGTTTTATGCAACCAACAAAACCACTTTTTCTATCCGAGTGACTCTAGAAATCAGTTAGTGGTGAAGATGGGCAGTCTGAAGGACTTTCCATCAGACACCGGCAGGAAGATTTTCTAAGGACAATTCAGGCAAAGATAGATGGTGTTCTTGAGCCTAGGCAAAACTTAAGCAAAATAATGTGTATTTTAAAAGAAAAGCAACACAGTTACAGTTAAAGGAGAAAGCATAACCCATAAAACAATAGCCCAAGGCTTCCAAATGGTTCAGTGTAGGCTAGGTCCTTGGTTGTCTCTCAGGGACTTCTCACACAAAGCTAGCAAGTCATCCAGATGCAGCCTGAGCTTTTCTCCCCTCTAATAGTGCGGATTTCAGTGTATCAGGTCTCTCGGAAGCCTTGGGTTTTCCTGACCTCATGTCAGTCTTTGACTGCTGCTGAGACCGTTGCAGCAGTTGTGGTGGCTCTGTGGCATGGACACCAGTGTTCTTTCAGCGGTGCACACCTAACTGAGCTAACCAACTCTGGATCCTTGTCCTGTATCACTTTGCATGCTGACTAGTTCGGTTCAGGTCTTTTCACACATTGCAGTGAAAAGTATTTTATTTTATCTGCTTTTATTTCAACTTCCACAGTGTGCTGAAAAGGTATTGCATTATTTTGAAATAGCAGAGACAGTAGAAACAAAAGAAGCACTTTCTATACTGAGTGTCAAAATTAATTGGCTCTCATTCTGGGAGTCTCCAGTACTGAAATAGTCCTGCTGGGTCTAATCAGTACTCAGTCTTCCAGAACTGGATGGTTTTCAGCTGTCAGTCTTATAAAATTTCCAAGATGGTTATGAAGAATCTCACTCTTCATAATCTTTGGAGGACAAAACAACTTGTTGTATGCCATGAATGTAATGGAGGTGCTTAACCATTTCCTTTCTGGCAACTTCTTCCTCTCCAAATTGCCCCCAACTATTCCCCCCCACCAAAAAAAAATTCCAGGTATGTGTTTTGCCAGGGCAAACAGTTCCTGGAACAATGGGGGGAGGGGCAAAAGAGGCAACATAGGATGGTGATTTGGAATGAAAAACGGCTGGCAAGAAAGAGTTAGGCATCCTTGACCCTTCACCCCACTTTTCTTTAAAGAAAGGTGTGGAGCTTTGTTATAGGCATTTGCCTCTGAATGTTTGTTAAATTCATTTTTTCACATAGCATTTCTTCCGGTAGCATTTGTTGGTGTCATACTTGCTGAGTTAATCCATTTTTAGTTTCTGCTAATGAGACCATAGCAATTTTGCAGTTTTTTGCCCCCTCTCTATAGATACTAAGAACCATTCACACGTTGCAGTGTCAGTGTGAAAGACACAGACTGTTGACTAGATGTGCGCTGGGAGTTCCAAATTGGAAACTTAATTCTCGAACACAGAAATCCTCAATTTGGACTAGGAGCACAGAGAGGCGTCTTAATCCTCCTTTGCCCCACATTATTTTCCTGACCTGAAATCCTGAAATGGCCCCTGGAGCACATATTTGCCCTATTGAAAGATGTACCTGTAGTCATCAGTACATTTATGGTTCCCCAGTAGGGCAAAATGGTGGTCTCCCAGGGCTGTTTCAGGTTGCAAACACAACACAGAGAAAAATGCATAAGTATCCTGTCCTGCACACTGTGACCCCACTCTGAGTTGGACTGGTCTCTCTCTGGGAATCAAGTTGCAGCACAGAACACCCAGACCATATCTGACAGTTTGTAACATGTGAGTTTGCATGCTACTTTAAGCCTCTGTACAACTGGAAAAGGGATCACTTTTTGTGTTGAACACTATTTATGTATAGGAAATGGTCTATAGCATCCCAGTTAGCAGATGATAAGCTGTCCTATGCTAAGCATGGGGAATGTAGGGAACAAACGATGGAGCCGAGAAGAGAAAAAGGGCACGGGACAGAAAATGGCTTGGGAGGGATTGCATTTAATAGAGGGACTTGAGTAAGAGACTTTACAAGCTTTGGCCAGAGCTAACCCATGGGAGGTCATGGCAAGGAGTAGTAGAAGAGGATGGAATACCCTTACAGGTTTCAAAAAAAGTTTTTAATCTCAAGAAAGACATAAGAAAAGAAGAAAGTTGCATTCTCTTCTGGAATATTTAAGGCAACTTGCTCTGAAGAAGAATACTTTTTTTACAGAATAAAATGTACACCTAACAAGTGAGACTTTAGATTGTGATTTTGGACAGTGAATTACTGCAGCCTGCATTTTATTTATTTCCTGTAGTGGGAAATGGCCTTTATATTTTCAGGGTTTGTCAACACATTTGCAATATATGATGAGAAAGTCTGCCAGAGAATTCAGAGCACTTTCATATCTGCCCTTACTGTAGTATTCAAAACTAAGCTGAACATTCAAATTCCTTTTAATGCAGCCTCCAGGACCAGACAACCTTTTTGTGAATTACCTGTCTAGGATACACAGAGAAGAGGTAAGGTTCTATTTTCTCTTTTGATTGTTTAGTGAAAGTGCATTAATTCCCGAACTGTGTTTTCTACTTACATACTCTGTATTGGCAGGATTTCCAGTTCATTCTAAAAGGAATGGCCCGTCTACTTTCCAATCCACTGCTTCAGACATACTTGCCAAATTCTACCAAAAAAATCCAGTTCCATCAGGAACTCCTGGTTCTCTTCTGGAAGCTCTGTGATTTCAACAAGGTACAGACATGCTTGATAGTGTTGAGAAGTAGAATGGGACAGAGATGAGCACTTATGGAAAGAGGACAAAGGGAGCCATTGAGGTGCAGTAGTTAGATTATTGGACTAGGATCTGTGAAAGGGGCAGATCCCAGAAGGGAGATGACCAGAAAAGAACCGCTGCAGTTGGATGGGGGGACATGGGAAACCTTCTCGTGGAATCAGGCAATGGAAGCAATGACGTGGGTGTGGAGGAGGATTAGCAAAAGTGAGAAGTATTAATTAATGTGGGGGATTCATGCGTCGCTAACTGTTTTGAATCTTGCCAGTCTTGCTGCTGCTGATCGTTACCTGATTCTTCATTTTGCTTGCAAGAGTCCATATGGACATCAACTTGAACCAGGTGTAGGTTGCTGATACAGCACACCTGACACCTGGGAAAGCCTCCATTTAATGTTGCCTGCGTGGACAAAGTCTGCCATTATGGTGACAGTTGGTCAACAATTTCCTCACAACAGAGAGAAACTCCTTTCAGAGTGGTCTTTTGATTGCTCTGGATAAAGTCCGGGATTTAATCTTCTTCCTGCTGGGCCCACGGCAGGATTTCTCATAAGCCACACTTCTAAATATGAAATTCCTGCTTCTGTACATGCTGGTTTTGCATTCTTTTCTCCTTTCCACTGACATAGTTTCATGGGAGCATCAACTTGATTTGGCAGGCCACTGAGCCTTATGCAGATGTTCTAAAGAAAAAAAGCTGTGTAAAGAAGATGACTTTTTCCCTCTCTCTCTCTTTCAGAAATTTCTCTTCTTTGTGCTTAAGAGCAGTGATGTCCTGGATATCTTGGTGCCAATTCTGTACTTCCTGAATGATGCCAGAGCTGATCAGTGTAAGTTTTCTTGGCTGTTTTGTAGGCTTATGCTTCTGTTTGAAAGGCTGGATGCTTTTTAAAAATTCATTCATTCATTCATTCATTCATTACCCTCATATTGGAAATAATATAATGGGCAAACCTGCAGTTGGCCTGCAGTCACATAAAGTGACTGTGATCATATGGTTGTGCTTGTGGGAATAAGTCAAAAATGAAAAGTCTGCATTTGTATATAGCCCCAGGGCTGGCTCAAGTTGGTGAATCATCCCAACTGTACTCCTCCCATGCCCCCCAGCAGGATCTAAGGTGGCAGACTCGAGAAGCGTGTGTGCTTCTGCTCATGCTGTTGTCACACTAGCACAATCAAAGGCAGGCTGCATAGAAAGGCACTTCCTCCGGAGCCCACCATGGATCCTGCTGGGTGGCAACAACTTGAGATCCAGTGATGGCAGACAGATTCCACTTCTGCTGCCTCCTTGCATGTCACCATCTTCTTCTGATTTGGTGCCTCAAACAACTGCTTGGATGGCAAACCTGCCTTGATCAGTGGCCTCTGTGTGCTAGCATAGGTAAAGTTGCATGCAGTGGCTTAAATGGCAGCTGTGATATGCTTAGGGCAGCTGGGAGATGCTCAGGGCAGATGAAACAACAAAGGTGAATGTGTTTCATTAGGACCTGTGTGAGAGCGTGGCTGAGTTCACAGACTCCAGAAGCCTGATGAATTTAGAATTCACAGGTTCAATTGGACTTTCCTTGTCCCTTCATAGATTCAGCCACTATTGTTTGAGTGATCTTAGATAAGAAGCAAGAGACCTGTGTTGTTCTTCTTGTCCTGTGCCAGTCTTTGGATATGTTTACAGTTTTCCTTACAGTGGGAATCAAATTTGTACATATTGCCATCTGACAAAAGTGTTTGGGTGTCAGAGGGCAGTTGTGGGTTAGCTGAATCCTTAGTTTCGCCTTTACTCTCCTGCTACATACGGCGGTAAAGGTACCACACTGAACAGCAATAGGGTTCTGTACTCTGTGTTTACCTTTTGTTTTTATTTTTAACTGGATGTCTCCATTGGCCAAATGAGTGACTTGTATTCAACACTGTGTTTCTTTTCACAGCTCGGGTTGGGCTTACGCATATTGGCGTCTTCATCCTGTTGTTGCTTAGTGGGGAGAGAAATTTCGGAGTTCGCCTGAACAAGCCTTATTCTGTGCGAGTACCAATGGATATCCCTGTATTTACAGGGACACACGCTGATCTTCTTATCATTGTGGGTGCAATGTTCCCCCCCCCTTTTTTGTTCTCGTCCGTTTGTTTTGCCAGTGCCTGTGCCTTTCTAATCAGGCAGAAATCTTTTGGGGAGAGGTGGGCAGGAAATAAAATTACTGCTTCGTGACAAACCGGGATAATGTCTGGCACTGCATATGTATCTTGACAATCAGCACCACAGAAGCAAGCACTGTAACTCTGCCTGCTCTTCTTCACTCTAGGTCTTTCACAAGATCATAACTAGTGGGCACCAGCGACTGCAGCCCCTCTTTGACTGCCTCCTGACCATCATTGTGAATGGTAAGCCACCTGACCTTATAGTGTTGGATGCTCACCCAACTATTGTGATTTTAGGTTAAACCAACATTATTCCAAAATGTCAGTGGCATTTAATAGCCCAGCAGCATGTTTTTGGGAACCTTGGGTGAGGCCAAGCAATGTGGGCAAATGTTGTGCCTGGGAATCTTTGCTCTAGGTGTTTAGAGACTCCTTTGGAGGTGGATACTATGAATAAAAGTGTTGTAAGATCCCAGTAATGCTCAAAAAGAGTGCTCTTGTGTGTATCTATCTGTACTGCAAGCCTCGAAATAATTTCATGTTGGGGTGAAGATGTACTGCAGTTCTGCCTTTTGTACAGCAGATGACATCAGCTAACTTCACCAGTACAATGCAGATGATGATTAGATGCCTGAAATTAATTTGTTCCATATTTATTTGGCTTGTTTGCCATTTTCCATGATACTCATGAGTAAATAGTCTGCAGAACCTGCTGTGATGCCATTCATGCACATTATTTAACATAATTAATCCAAGAGCTAAAGTAGGTTTGTCTGATCAAATTCCTTATTTTAAAATACAATTTTATAAATGTAGGTATTCCCTGTTTATCAAAGTAGCAGCCACTGAACTCCATGCAAGACACTACAGTTCTATCACTTCTTTTACTTACAAAATTTGTATATAGCATCCCTTAAATTAGCATTTAAAATATAAAACATGGGGGGCCTCTGGTGGCTGGAAAAGGAAATGGCTGCCTAAACCTTTCACTCCACCAACCCCGCTCCTTTCCCAGCCTCAAAAACGATCTTACTAACGTCTACAAAGCTAAAATATATGGGGAAAGGGACGCGATTAACACAGCAACCGGATTTGAAAAAACTGAAGAAGGTGCAACTCAAAACAGACGAACAGAAGCTGGATAAAAAAATCGGGCCTAGAACTACAGTCTACAAACAAAATGGCTACTGGGTCAAAAGATACAGCGGAGGCCTCGGTTCCAGTGACTTCAAAAAGACCTGACAACAGCGCTGTCTAATCTGGAAAAAACCTTCCTGGACCGCATTTCAAACATGTTCAAGCCTCTATATAACCAGATGGACATTTTACAAAAGAGTGTTCAAGAGACTAAAAAAGTAGCAGAGAGTGCAATGCAGAACAGCTTAGCTAACCAAACAGACATACAGCAAATGCATTAAATGGAAGGCCTTCTTGCTGAAAGAACACTACGTCTTGATCTCTCTCTTAGGCAAAACAACCTCAAACTGAGAGGCCTAGGTGAAAAGGTTGAAGAAAAAGGTGACCTGGCAACACACATCTCCCTTTGGTTAGAACAGACAGTTGGATCGGAAGGTGACCAATCGAGAATAATAACTAAAGCCTACAGACTAGGTCCTACCTCGCTCCTTAGAACAAGGCCGGCTAGAGACATAATGATTACTTTTTTGGATGGCAAATATAGAAGAAGGATTCTAGCTGCAGCACGGCAAAAGGGACACTTGATCTACAAAGTCTACCCAGACTTACCACGTGAAGCTATGGAGAAGCGAAAAGAATTGAAGCCAGTAATGAATGCTCTGTGGGAAGCCGACACCAGATATTCCTGGAGTACGCCGCTCATACTCCAAACAACATACAGGGGAAAACAACACAGGATTTCATCCATTGAGGAAGGCCTCAGCTTGCTTCGTAGTCTAAACATAGAAACCCCGATGGAACTCTCATGGCAGTCAAGCAAGCGAGGTCATTCCACTCAGGCTTCGGGCTCCTCTTCGGGAGACAGATAAGTAACTCCACTGAATCAGATCTACTTCTTTTAAAGAGATGCTAGTGTTGTCCTCAGGACTGTTACACTTAAAGTCAATCTTCATGAGTTTCGCATTTGCAGTTATTGTTCATATGATCTCTTTGCCTTATATAAAGAATTGGTTCTATTAAAGGGAAACCTAAGAGGGTTTTTGCACATATATATTGGTTTAAAAGTTAGGTTCTCCAGAAACTATTCATTGCCTAGTTTAATGCACTTTTGTTTCCTTAATGTTATAATGTTCACTCTTATTTCTGTAATGAATTTATAGACGCTTCAATTTTGTATTGTAATGAATTCAAGGGGCTAGGGGGGGCATCGGGAACTTGTAGTGTAAGATCACAGAAAGCGCTTTGGACTCTCAACACTGAATGCTGGGAGTAGGAGAGACACAGGAGTCATCCCAGCCTTCTGCCTGTAAAAGGCAGAAGATTTGAGAGTCACACCTACAAGAGATTTAACTGTTATCCATCGAGTATAATTGCACTTGTATTTAGTTGTTACTATTTGCATTTTGGCATATCACTAGCAAACGTTTTTAGACTAGTGAATACCCAATTTATCAATTTCATAATACTGATCTGGTGCTTTAATTAATAGAAAACCAATTGTGATTTTCCTATCTTATTTATTATTACCATCCTATTTTCTTTACTTTTTGATTAATCAAATACACAAAAGACATTGCATATAATTTCTAACTGATCCTTATTGCTCATATACAAGACACAAAAAACACCACTAGAGTGTGCTATAGTCTTGTTTCTCATAATACTTCCATTCAACTCACCTTACAGAAGGGCTCCCAATGCACACTCACTTAATAACCTCTAAAATTTACGAAGTGTTGACATACACGAATTCCATTTGTATACAAACTACATAATTAGATAGATCATTATACATAGCGGGACCAAATTAACATTAAGTTTTTCTGTTCTGCTTTCCTAATAAATACTACACAAAATTAAGTTCACAATAGCACTGCAGCTAAGGTCCTGAATAGGAAGTAATACATACTTACACATTTTTTATCTATTTCATCTCTATTCAACAACAAAGACAGTATATTACACATAGGACACAACAATAAACACTGCTCAAATTAAAATCGTATCTTCCAATGTGCGCGGTCTAAACAATCCTATCAAACTCCGTAGAGTGCTCACTAATTAAAAAAACCTACAACCTGACATAGTTTTACTGCAGGAGACGCATCTCCGTAAAACTGAGCAATTTGTTTTCCGTTCAAAAAAATTTCAAACACAATACTTAGCCGATGGCATTTCCAAGTCAAGGCGAGTACTTTTGGGAGTACTTTTGTCCCAAAATTTGCATTTCACCTTACTATCTCAAACAAAAGACCCACCAGGTAGATTTCTATTTATTAAAGGCCACCTAGAAAACAGGGGAGATAACCACAAACACACAGAAAATTATAAATAGATTTCAAGAATATTACACGAAGCTGTACACAGCGTGTCCAACAAATAACAAGGCATTACATGAGGAACTGCGCAACTTCCCCATCCATACCAAGTTGAACAACATGCACAGTACTTACATGGATAGCCCAATCACGGAGCAAGAGGTTAGAGACACTATCACAGACAGCACTCAAAACGAATAAAGCCCCAGGACCAGATGGCTTTCCGTCTGAATTTTATAGAACTTACCTTCCTGTCTTACTAACCCTACTTATTACAACCTTTAATAATATTTTGGAAATGGGTTCTATCCCACCATCTTGGCGGGAAGCGCAGACAGTAGTTATCCATAAAAAAGGCAGAGATCCCACACAACCTAGTTCATATCGCCCCATTTCTTTATTAAATCAAGACCAAAAAATAGTCACATTCCTTCTAGCCAAACGTTTGAATACCTTCATAATGGAATATGTGCACCCTAACCAAGTGGGTTTTATCCCACAGAGAGATCTAGTGGATAACACCTTTAAAACTCTAAATCTTATACACTATAGTAACCGCAATAAAATCCCAGTGGCCTTCCTCTCCCTTGACATGGAGAAGGCCTTTGATACGGTCAATTCCCCTACTTGTTTGGGACCATCCAAAATATGGGTTTGGGCACCAAATTCACCAAAATAATTAAGAGCCTTTACACCCACCCGACCACCAGTATAAAAATAAGTGGCTCTATGTCAGACACAATTTCCCTGGGGTGGTGGTGGTGGTACCAGACAGGGATGCCCACTCTCATAAGAACATAAGAGACGCCAATGTTGGATCAGGCCAAAGGCCCATCTAGTCCAACACTCTGTCACACAGTGGCCAAAAATATCAGGTGCCATCAGGAAGGTCCACCAGTGGGGCCAGGACATTAGAAGCCCTCCCACTGTTGGCCCTTCCAAGCACCAAGAAGACAGAGCATCACTTGCCCCAGAGCCCCTATCTATACCTTGTGGCTAATAGCCACTGATGGACCTCTGCTCCATATGCCTATCTAATTCCCTTTTGAAGCCGTCCATGCTTGTAGCCGTCACCACTTCCTGTGGCAGTGAATTCCATGTGTTAATCACTCTTTGGGTGAAGAAGTACTTCCTTTTATCCGTTCTAACCCGACCGCTCAGCAATTTCATGGAGTGCCCACGAGTTCTTGTATTGTGAGAAAGGGAGAAAAGTACCTCTTTCTCTACCTGTTCTTTCCCATGCATAATCTTGTAAACCTCAATCATGTCATCCCTCAGTCGTCTTTTCTCCAAGCTAAAGAGCCCTAAGCGCTTTAACCTTTCCTCATGGGGAAAGTGTTCCAACCCTTTTATCACTCGAGTTGCCTTTTCCTGCACTTTTCCAAAGCTATAATATCCTTTTTAAGGTGTATAATATCCTTTTTAAGGCTCTCCCCACTCTTCAAAGTAAAAGACTTCATTAAAACACATGGAGATGATTTGGAAACACAAGAAGAGAAACAGAAGGATGCAGAAGAAGAAGTTCAGAAGTCACAGGGAGCAACAGGAACTACTGGACAAATGCCAAGATACAAGAGAAAAACAGTAAGAATTGTACCATTGCAAATAGTTACAAGATTTCAACAAAGGACCAAAGAAGACACAGAAAAGCAAGTACAGGATGGATAGAAGGAAAATTAAAATAATTTCAATAAACATTAATGGATTGAATGCACCTCAAAAAAGAAGAAAGATATTCTTGCAATTGAAAAAGATGCAATTGGATGTGATATGTTTGCAAGAAACACATTAAATCTTCAGATCAACGATACTTTGAAATGAAGAAACCTGGAAAAGTTTTTATTTCTTCAGACAAAGAAAAGAAAAAAGAGGGTTAGTAACATATGTGAAAGACTATTTACACCCTGAATTAGTATATAATTCTGAAGATGGTAGAATCCTGAAGGTCAAAATTCAAAGACAAGCCAAAACAACCCTGATTGTTAATATATACACACCTAATCAGCATCATGATAAATTCTATCAACTTTTGCAAGACCTTATTTCAAAACAAGAATATCTGCAATGCAGTAACATGGTCATCTACACCAACATTTGTTAAACATTACGCCATTGACGTTGATTCCAGAGCGATATGGCTGTGGTAAAAGCAGTGCTGCAGTCATTGTTTCAGATTCAGGAACCCACACCTTCCTCCTGCAGTAAGTCAGCCTACTACTTTCCCATGTGGGACTGCACAGAATCCATGAAAATGGAACCATGGTTGCACTTACCTGTAACCATTGTTTGTTGAGTGGCCTTCTTTGCAGGCATACATTCCTTCCTCTTTTCCCCACTGTGGGATCTTTTCCACGGTGGCAAAGGGAGGACTGAGGGAAGGAGCGTTCTCCCTGCCTCTCTCATGTCCTGGTTTGGGCGGGAAAACTCTGGCTCGCGTTGGAGGGAAGGGGGAGTGCTCCAGAGCCTGGAAAGAGAAAGCTTTAGAATTTTCTCTGCAGGTTGGTCTGTGCATGTGTGGTCCCCTATGTGTGCCTGCACAGAAGACCACTTGACAAAAAACAGCTACAAGTAAGTGCAACCATGTTTTACATAAGTAGAAAACAATGAGTGAGAGCGAGTTAGTACATACAGCAAACAAATAATATATACTGTTCACACTGATATAGTCCACAGTCCTGTTCTCTTTATTAAAGCACTTTTTGAACTATTCTGTTATAGCCCTATTTCGTTTATAAAAGCAACTTCCTGAACAATTCTGTTTTACATAGTTTGCAGAATGACAGAAGTGTGGGAGCTTTCCTGACCCTCTCAGACAGGCCATTCCACGAGGTGGGGCCCCATCAGGGAATGCATAAGTATGGGAAGTTGACTGTTTGTGGGATAAGCAAAGCTGTTGTGGCAGAGAATAAGAGGAGAGGTGGTCCTGCAGATACAAGAGTCCCAGGCCATGAAAGGCTTTGTATGTGACAGCAGGTACCTTGAATTGAGCTCAGTAACTGATGGGCAGCCACTGGTGTGACTGTAAAATGGATGTAATATGCACTCTCTGCCTAGCTCCTGATAAAAGCCAAGCTAATCCTGCTTCAGTTTAAAAGTTTGCTGGCCTAGAAAATTTGTAGTGAACGAATCCTGTTGCTTACTATAAAATATAACTTTTTGGCTTTTGTTTGTTTTTCCAGTTAACATGTAATGGGCACTTTTCTCTAATAGAGGCCGATTTTGTGTTTTCTATGAAGCCTTTGTTTTATCTCCTCTTGTAACCAAACCCTAAAATGTGTAACTGCACTTGCTGACATTCATCGCCGGGTTCCCTTTCCTTCCTCATTGCATGTCTTCCTCACTGTCAGGAGTTAGACCAAGCTTCCTGGAGTTGGGATTTGAGTACCTGTTTCTTGTGAAACTCAGTGAAACACTGTGTACCCTGATGGCACTGACTGTATGCATAATATCAGGGTCTTCCTAATTGCTTTTTCTCTTTCCTGCCTTTACCTCCCCTTCCTCCAGTATCGCCATACTTGAAGTCTCTTTCTATGGTAGCTGCTAACAAACTGCTGCACTTACTGGAAGCCTTTTCAACTACATGGTTCCTGTTCTCCACTGTCCAGAACCATCACCTTGTCTTCTTCTTGCTGGAGGTTTTCAACAATATTATCCAATACCAATTTGATGGTGAGTAGTTAAAGCATTCAGATCTATCTGCCTTTTTGATACCATATTTTGAGCATACGTATTTCAAGAGACATGTTACTTTAGAAACATAACAGAGCAGAAATGGTGTAGACCTTTTTTCTAGATTTACTGTCCTTCATTTCCATTCAGCTGTTAGAGCTGAGAGTCTGCTTATTTGAGGACTCCTGAGATTAAGTTTATGTTTGTTTCCAGCTTTCTTTTCAAATTTTTACTAGAAGAGAAAGCTGCTTCTAATTAATGACCAACGTAAGAATTTTTCTTAAATAATCAGAATGAACACGTTGTTTCAGCTTCTATTATTGTCTATTATCATTTCAACAGTTTTGATGTAAGTCATTGTAGTTTCCATTTTGCATATGTGAAAGTAAGGCTGTGAGACACTGACTTAATCAAGACCTGTCATGGAATAATAGCTAATCCTGAATGCAGAATTATCTCAAAAACAAATCCTGCATGTTTATTACCAGACAATAGCCCCCCCCCCCCAAGTTCTGCTATTGTAAAGTCACTTTTGGTGATACAAACCAAGGAGCCCTGTAGACCCCCAACTTCACAAGAAGCTGGTGTCATATTTCTGCCTAACAGTGTGAGCTGGTTCTCTTTTTGGCCAGAGACTCTTGTACTGCACTGGTTGATAGAATGTCTCTTGTATTCCTTTCCAAGAGGATAATAGCTCAAGAACCGATAATTAGTTTAGTGGGCCAGATTTTGCTACTGTTTGGAGCTGTCCAGTCTTCTCTACTGAGACTGAAGAAAGGGTGAAAGCAGGGAAAGGGAGAAAACAAGACATTAAGTCCTCACATGACTATATTATTTCAGTATAGCTTCACGTTGTTTATGCTGCTTTACTGCAGGGTTATAAATATAATTGTTTCTTCAGAAGTTACCTTACACCCCGTGTCAAGCCCTGTAGGGATACTTGCAGTTCTCTTTCCGCCTCCAGAGGAACAGTGAAGTTTATCTCTTCTTTTCTTCTTGCTCTTGTTGCTGTGATTTCCCAGGCAATTCCAATTTGGTCTATGCCATTATTCGCAAGCGAAATGTGTTCCACCAGCTGGCCAATTTGCCTACAGACTTGCAGTCTATCCAGAAAGCTTTGCAGCGCAAAAAGAAAGCTCCTGAACCTATATCTCGTACCAACTCTCAGGATGGGGTGTCCATGGAAGGGTCACGGCCCGCTGCACCTGCTGAGCCTGGAACACTGAAGGCCAGCCTAGTAGCAACTCCAGGTCAGACCAATCTGCTTAGTATATGCTTGTTTTAAGCAATGCAGTAACTTTGTTGCAAGGTCAGTTCATCCTTTGGTTTCTATCCTGACTATATGAAATAATCTAGCTGGTTTATTTGCATCAGGATGTACACTTATGCCCACACCAGCAAAATTCTGCGTTCTCCCATTTCTGTTTAAACACTCTCATTATGAGCACTTCTGTTAGTGTACAGTGTAGATGTGTGTGTTTTGCCCATCCCTTCTCGTTTCCATTATATAGCCTGAGAGAACCCATATTCTTGCTGAGCAAAATTTGAAATTATATGGTCTGAAATGGTTAAATCAGCCAGAATTTTTTTCAAATAAATATTGTTTGCATGGGTTCCTTAATTTACAGATAATTTTTCTGACTAATTTGTGGAGGTTTCTGTTTGCAAGTTGTGTTGGGGTTTTGTGTGTGTTAGAATCTGGAATTTGTATGTGTCACGAACACACTTGACTACAAAAAGCTGAAAAGATTAAACTGGGCTGTGTCTTCAGCAATCCTGGCTGTCAAATCTCTAAAGGAACACATTTTGGCTTTCTAGAATTGAAGCTTAATTCTTAATTGCCCACATCTTCATATCACTTCTTTCTGTAGAAGGATGCAAGTTCTTCTGTTGAAAATGTACTCAATACAAAGACAAGGACAGAGAATTTTCTTTCTTAGTGTAACTTGTATTATTGATTCCCTGTAAGCATTGTTCAGGAGCTGCGGTGGCTCAAGTGGTTAAGACGCTGAACTGCAGGCTGTGGAAGGTCGGTAGTTCAGCAGTTCGAGACCCGAGTGACAGAGTGAACTCCCGTCTCTAGTTCCAGCTCCTGCCAACCTAGCAGTTTGAAAGCAAGAAATTGCAAGTAGATAAATAGGTACCACTTCAGTTCTGTGCGCCTTGGTGTTTAGTCATGCCGGCCACATGACCACGGAAATGTCTTCGGACAGCGCTGGCTGTTCAGCTTTGAAACGGAGATGAGCACCGCAACCCTAGAGTTGTACTCGACTGGCTTTCAAGCAAGGTAACCTTTACCTTTAAGCATTGTTCAGCCTATTCCTAATGTTTTCTTCCAAAATTCAGGTATTGACAAACTCACAGAGAAATCCCAAGTGTCAGAGGATGGGACAATATGCTCTCTAGAGCCAGAGTCTTCACAGTCTCCAGCAGAGGGCAGTCTACCTGGCATTGTCAGTGATACAGAATCTTGGAGTGGGGTAAGGCTGCATGTTGCTGTCATGTTTTGACATATTCTAGAGACCGAGAATGAATCAGAACATAATCTAGTACTATACTTGGTGCTTCACACCTAAGGCAATCAACAATGAAGCAATTCAAAATGAGTTCTCAGGCTTTACCTATTAGTAGTCTGGTGTGCCATTCCAGAGAAGCTATAATGAGTTACAACCAACAAAGTCCTCTGCCAATTAAAAAAAAACCCAGCTGGTTTCTTCTCATCAGTTGGAACAAGATTCTAGCAAGTATTTTTGTTTGGCAAATTGTCTGTAGTTTGAATAGAATTATGTTGCAATAAGTCTCTTAATCTGTCAACTGAGAATGGTTACAAATGATGGGGTAGGGGAGCTGGGGCAGATACTCAGGGAATGGAAGAGGGCAGGAGTAGAGCCTAAAACACATATTTTTAGAAACTTTATTGGAGATGTGGTATCATTCTCAGAACTGGGAACCATAATGTTACTGTAACTGTAAATAATGAAGGATTACGTTCCCCCTTTCCTGTATCTCTGAACCAAGGCCACTGATGTTAACCCAGTAAAGGTTTGTTGTAGTTGAAGGATTACATTATAACTTTATGGTGACAATAAATAAGTCTGGGACACCAGGCTACAGAGATGGGACATCCCATGTCTTGGTTGCTTCCCAGACAAACAGCATTAAATGTGCTGTTGACCTTGGGACTGATGTGAATATTTTTGAAGCTGAATGAGGTCAGTGAGGCGCCCAGGTCAAAGCATTTGGGTGTAGGTGCTGAACTTTAGCTTTCTGTTACTGAAATGTTGTGATTGGGGCTTTATATGGTTTGTGTGAAGGGCACATTCAACATTTTATTTATGTATTTATTTATTATTATATTTCTATCCTGCCCTCCCCGCGAATGGGCTCAGGGCGGCTCACAAACAGGGCAACATGTGCCAATATAAAACATTAAAAACAGAATAAAACAACATTCTTAACAATAATAAAGTGCTCAGTGATGTTACCCAGTTAGTCGTATCAAGATGGTGATCTATAGATATTGTCCTATAGATGTTACGCTTCAGTGGTACCGATCTGTTGCAGTACTGTGGCTAGATCTTTATAATAGGCCATCCCAATTGTCCCATTGTTACCACAGGATAATTGGTAGTGGTGGCTCCTAAGTGAATGCCTGGCGGAAGAGCTCCGTCTTGCAGGCTCTGCGGAACTGTGAGAGGTCCCACAGGGCCCTGATCTCCTCCAGGAGCTTGTTCCACCAGGTAGGAGCCACCCCTGAAAAGGCCTTAGCCCTGGTTGCCACAAGCCTGGCCTCCCTGGGGCCTGTGATCACTAATCGATTTTGGGCCCCAGACCGTAGTACTCTCTGGGGAAAGGCGGTCCCTCAGGTACATCGGACCCTGGCCATATAGGGCTTTAGAGGTAAGTACCAGCACCTTGAAGCGGACTCGGAAAGCTATCGGTAGCCAGTGCAGTGCTTTCAGCACAGGTTGGATGTGCTCCCATCTAGGGAGACCCATCAACAGCCTGGCCGCAGCATTCTGCACTAGCTGCAGCTTCCGAATCTGCGACAAAGGCAGCCCCATGTAGAGAGCGGTACAGTAGTCTAGTCTTGAGGTGACTGTCGCATGGATCACTGTAGCCAGGTCATCGTGGTCGAGGATGGGGACCAACTGCCGGATCAGCCGAAGATGGTAAAAGGCCGAGCCGGCAGTGGCTGCCACCTGGGCCTCCATAGATAGGGAGGTATCCAGGAGCATTCCCAAACTCCTAACCTCTGGCACTGGCATAAGAGCCCATGCAGGAAATGTTGTTGACTGAACCCTCCTGGTAATTGCATGTTTAGTTCTATGTAGCTGATGAATATATATAACTAGTAAATAAAAAGATAGATACACATTAATCTGGAATTGTGAGTCCTCAGATATGGGGAACCTTAGATCAGTAATGAAAAGAACTTTTGAAGTCATTGCACTGCAAAAACAAAAGTTGCAATACAGGGTCTTGTTATATTTTGTCTCCTTTTTTAGTGCTGAATACATACTACTCTTTACCTACTTGATTAATCTTCCCATTTGACCCTCATCTCAATACTGCTTGAACTAAAGTTGGACAGCAGAGGAGAGGCTCAATGCTATATTTGTGTCATCTTTTTAGGAATCATTACAGCCCAAGCGTGATCGACGGCGCTTGTCCAGTGTATCCTCAAGTGGGCAATGGAATCCAACTCCTGAATGGGTGAGAGAAGCTAGGGACTAATGTTATCAGTTCATATTTTAATTCATCATGTTAATATTATTCATTATTAATCGTATGTAGTGTGCAAAGTGCATTACAGTCCTTTTCTTGTTAGGCCATGAAGAAGGCAATGGTTTGGTTAGAAAATTATGAGGTATGCACAGTGTACTTACCTGCCTGCTGTTTTCTGCCATGCTTCTCTGTTCAAAATGGCAAAAATATGTTGCTTTATCATTCTGAAGCTGGCACGAATTGTTCCCCGTTACATCATGCATTCTCTGAAAGGGACTGGGGATTTTTCTTTTCTGAAAAAGCACTAAGGCACAAAGCTCTTTGCTTTATCTTTGTTGCTTTAATTGTAACTGGCCTGAAATGATCCCATTTCAACTCATGTTAACATCAATAGGCAGTGTAAAAATGAGAAATTCAATGAGCCTAGATCTCTGAAAGCCTCCATGATTGTCTGCCTATTTGGAAGTGGGTAGTCTTGTATATATGTGTATAATAATAGGGTGACCAGCAGGAAGAAACTTTTCTGTGGCTCTTCTTTTCCTGCATGTGTGGGATAAATAGGTCACACTGATTCTCCAGCAAGATAGTTACTTGCATGATGATCTTTCAGAAGAAGTTCAGAAGAATATTGGTTATGTTTGGAAATTTTGTTCTGTTATTTAAAATAGGATGCAAAGATTCACATTTAGATGTAATGACAAAACATGGTTTAACATTGTGAGAAAAAGATTTGGAAGTCCTCAAGCTTGCACACTTACTCCCCTCCCCCAATCGACTTCTTTTACAAGTGACTCAGAAATTGAAGACTTTCTTGTTTGGAAGAAATCATAGTTCGTCATTGTATCCAAACCACAAGCTATGATACGTTTATTTCCTGCAAATCGGGATTCTAAACCAGTATTAGAAACAGAGCCGGCTGAGCCTGAATCCAGCGAAGACGGAGGTTCTGTGGCTGGGAAGGGAGGACTCAGGGCTGGGGTGCTAACTCCTGGCTCTTGACAGAGTACCTCTAACACTGGTACCTACTGCCAGGAGCCTGGGTGTGCTTCTTGATGCCTCCTTGGAGACCCAGATCACAAACATTGCCAGACTGGAGTTTTTTCAACTCTGCCAGGTCAGGCAACTGGCCCTGTCTCACTCCGACCTTGCCACAACAATCCATGCAACAGTCACCTCCAGGTTAGACTAATGTAACTCAGTCTACACAGGGCTACGCTTGAGACTGATCCGTAAGCTGCAACTGGTCCAGAATGCAGCGGTGCAGCTTCTCAAGGGAACCCCACTGACAGCACATCCAACCAGTGCTTCTCCAGCTGTACTGGTTCCAGGTCGAAAAGGTACTAATCTTTAAGGTCCTAAATGGTCTGGGACCAATGTATCTACAGGACCTCCTCTTCTGGTATACCCCCCGAAGAGCACTACACTCTGGAGAGAAAAACCTTCTGGTGATCCATGGCCCAAAAGATGCTTGGCTGTCTTCAACCAGAGCCAGGGCTTTTTTGGCCCTGGTGCTGGCCTGGTGAAACTCTGCCAAATGACATCATGCCCTGTGGGACTTGGTACATTTCTGCAGGGCCTGTAAAACATAGATGTTCTGCCAGGCCTATGGTTGAGGACAGCAACGGTTTCCAGCATGCCTGGCCCTCTCTCTGCAGCGCCACTTCTCTGTCCTCCTTTTTACCCTCCCCCCATGCGGTAAGGATAGAAATTGGTTTTAAGCACCATCCTGTAATAGTTATTGGAATTTTAATAATTTTAACTCTTTGATTGTATTTTATTCTAATGTTGTAAATCACCCTGAGCCCAAGTGTGGGGGATGGTGGTCTATAAATTGAATAAATAAATAAATATTAAACCATAGTTTGGTTCTAGTTTATAGACAACAAGCAAATCACAGTGGGATGTAATGACAAACCATTGTTTCTTGCAATGTAAGCCTTCAGAAAGAAGGAGGCAGGAGAGAGTTCATGAACTTGAGAACCAAGGCTTGTTCTTGTATAACACTAGTCTCTGAATACACAATGAGCCCTTTGGCAAATGAAAACTTTTGTTGGATGGCATTGGAAATAATTCCTGTTGACAATATGGGTCATACTGGAGGTAAGTGCCCTAATGTTCATGTTGGGGTGCTAGAAGCCTTTCAGGCTCAACTATTTCTCCTGCAATTCCTAATGACTAATTGCCTTGTGTTGTGTCCTATATATTACTGTTCAGGGTAATAAATCTGGATATCAAGGTAAATTGAATAAATATGTTTATTCTGTCTCATCTTGTTAAATGGCTTGTGTTGTACTCAAACCAACAGATCTCATCTGTTGCTTTCTTCTTTTGCAGGTGACATCCTGGAAATCAAAGCTGCCTCTTCAGACAATCATGCGATTGTTACAGGTCCTGGTCCCCCAAGTAGAGAAGATATGCATTGACAAGTAAATGTCCAGGGTTTCTTGAACAGAATTGTTTAGATTATAGATTGCTGGCTATGCGCTGTTAACAATAAAATTCATTCATTCATTCATTTAGATTATAAGGTAGTAAGGATTTCCTTATTACAATCCAGACTTACCATCTCCTCACCTTTTTGCAGAAGATGGCATAGGAGCATAGTTTGTTATGGGGGTTGCACCGATATTTATTTTATATATTTAAAACATTTATATCTCACTTCTCAATAGGATTGCCGTCCCCCCAATGGGGGCAGAGGTTGCCCTGCTTTGAGGAGCCCCATCCCCGAAGAGCCTCGGTGTGCCTGGCACGGTGATGTCATCACACTGGGCATGTCTCGTGGGGGAATGCTCTTGCATTTGGCTAAAAACTCTATTGTGACAGAGTTTTTGGCCAAATGCTACAGCATCCCCCTGCACGATGTGCCCAGTGCGATGATGTCACTTCCAGGTGATGTCATCATGGCGTGTGCCAGAAGCTCCAGGTACCCAGGCTCCCCCCACTGGCAGTCAGTCCTCAACCAGGTGGTTCATAGAGAGCCCTACAGTTAAAATAAAATTCAAATTACAATAAAACAAAGCAAATATTGTAAAAAAAAAAAACCCCTTAGCAACATCAGAAAAAAATCTACAAAAGCAGCAAAAATTATGAAAATTCTTTAAAAACCAGTAACTCGGATGAAACACGGCAAAGGTAAAGGAAAAACCAAAATGACAAGTGCAATATAATTGCTTGGACCAAATATAATAGAGGTGAAAAAGAAAGGGACAGGGGATCAACAAAACACTTTAGGTGAATTGATTTTTACCTGACACTGCAAATTCAAAAGACTTGGGACTAGGTGAATAGCTAAGAGGAGATCTTCCACAGTTGGGGAACCACAACTGAGAATGTCCTAATAATAACCTGTCTATTGTCAGCAATTGAGGGTGTGCAAAACAGGGTTTCTGGAGACTCTGATATCATCAAATATGGCAATAATTAGCTATGCTGGTCAGTAAAAGCATAGTCTTGAACATCAGGGCTCTGATTACTAGAATCTGGGAGATAGCAAATAGGAATTTTATCTGTGCACCCATTGATTTCCAGTGCCTGGATTCTTTAACGAGAAATAAGGTATAGGGTTAACTGGCGTATATGTCTGGTCAAGAACTGTAGCTCCTTTATGGCTAGGGAATCAAGTGTATGAGGAAAAGGAGCCACTACCTGTAGCTATAGACTCTGTTGAAGAGGCTTGCTTCTTTTCCCCTCCCCTCCATTACGGACAGCAGAACTCATTCTGGAGTGAGCTGCTCCATGTGCCCTGAACTCCAAATCTGCCATTGCTGGATGGAGGTGCAAGACCACAGAATCATGGAGCTCCATCTATTGTAAGGAAAGAACTGGATGCTCAGTGGTACATTCTGTAGGAATTCTCAAGCTCTGGAGAACTATAGATGCTTTTTCATATAATCGTTCATTTTTAGTGGGAGAAACACCTGTGTATGAGCGTAAAGTTATTGTATTCAAAGTTCTCCTTCAGTGGGGGAAGGCATCCAAACTAGTTAGGTCATGCCTCCTCTCACTCCCGGCAGGGTTATGCAAATTTGTGTAGACGGTATTGGCTCAGAGCAAGGCTGACCCTTCACTTTCGATAGCCCTGCCGCTTCAGCAGGATGCTCAAGTCTAGCTCCGCTTTCTTGGAGACACTTGCCTTATTGGTATGGAAGATGGAAAAGCCTTGAAGAACGGCCCCATCACCGGTCTTAAAAAAGAAAAAAGAGACCATTAAAATAAGTCTCTCCCACCTGAGGTTCCAGCTATCAGAGACTGGCCAACGACAGATACCTTTATAGCGGCACAATCTGCCGTCAGTGCTGGCAAACGCAAAGCTTCGGGATGTTCCACAGCCAGCCCCTGACTGCACAGGAAAAGCCCAGCAGAGATCTACCAGGTCTGAGCCTAGACCTGCTTTCTTGGAGTCTCTTACCTTGTTGGTGTAGAAGACAGAAAGGCCTTGAGGAAGGGCCCCATTGCCGGCCTTAGAAAGAAAAGGGAGACAGTTGAGACAGGCCCCTCCAGCCTGAGGCTTCAGGCATCAGAGACCGGCCAATGGCAGATGCATCTGCAGGGGCATGGGCTGCTGTCAGTGCTGGCAGACCTGAAGCTTTGGGTCATTCTGCAGCCAGCCCTTGACTGTGCTGGAAAATCCCGGCAGAGCTCTATTGGGTCCAAGCAACCATGAGGAGGTTGCAGCGAGTGGCCCGCCCAATACAGACTTGGAGGTTTCCAGGCCTACAGGGAATAAGAGGATTGGAGCTGAAAGTAAGACACCCCCCCCCCCGAGATACAGAGGGGCAGTGGGTTAAGGACCTCCAACATGAACAAGGGGTCGATCCAAGCAGGGGTGACAGTGCAGCAGAGCAGTTTCCCCTCCCTCTGGCCTCTATGAGGCCTTTCCCAGTGGGTTCGGCAGGTCAGGAAAATTCCAATAGGGTGGCTGCTTAGGTTTTTCCTGCATTTTTCCTGCCCTTCCTTTGCAGGTTGGAGGACGTGGGCCTTTAGTCCAGCCTGGGTCTCCCCCAACCCTGTGCATGTGCAACCAAGAATCATGTTGGCCTTTCCATGGCTAGGAGTACCCGGCCAAGCAGTGGCTGTGGCTGATCTAACCTATAAGGATGCTAGCACCAGCGACATCAGGAGCTTTTGAGAGCTGGTCAAAAGAGATGTTCCCTTTCTCCCTCACCACCCGTGTCAGGCTTGGCTTCTGGGGCAGAGGAGCTCCTTTCAACCATAGGATCTATGGCAACAAGCTCCGATAAAGAGGAAGGGCAATGGTCAGAAAATTCTCCTAGGCCTTTCCTAAGGAAACTTTTCTAGGCCTTTCCAGCCAGAACATTTCCAGAGATTAAAAAAGGTGCCTTTCCCTTCTCTTAACTACCAATTGGATACAACAGAAAAACCTAGATCATCGTCTTTAACTGATTTAGATACTAGAGGTTTTAAGAGACCATCCAAAGAGTCCTCAGTTTGTCCATTCCCTGAATTATTCATGCTAATGGCAGAATGGGCAGTTCTAGGCAATGGCATAGGAATAACGGTATTTGTCTTTCCAGCAGGCAACATGGCAGACCTCAAGTCCCTCTGCTACATGTTCTGGTAGCAGTCTTACATTTAGAAGCAGTTTTACCTAAGGATGTGGACAACCCATTTAAGGAGTCAGTGGATGATGATGATGATGATGATGATGATGATGATGATAACAACAACAACAATAACAACAACAACAACAATAATAATTATTATTATTAATGAGATGGCCCTAGGGAATCCCATGAAGCAGCCCCTCTGACAATCTGAGACTCCTCTGTGCTCTCAAATTTCTCCAGGGCCATCATGGTTTGGGCTGATAACCTCCTTCAGGAGCCAGACACTGAGCCCTTGATGCTTAAGAAATCCCTCCTAAAGATTAAAAGGGCTGCAAAATTTGCAGCAGATGCATCACAAGAGGCCATGCAGTTCTGTGCCAGAGCACAGGCCATCAATATAGTGGTTAGAAGGAACCTATGGCTAAATCATTGGAAGGTGGATCCTCTGTCTATTTCAGATTTATCTGCATTTAAAACAAAAGTAAAAAAGGGAGCTAAGGGATTTTAGGAGCTCCTGCACCTATTTGGCTATAGGTCCAGATTCCAGCAGAGACAGTTCCCTCCTAACAAACAGGACAGGAACCAACAAAACAAAGACCAACCACCTGACAATATGGTTGGGGGTTGACTCCAGCAGTTTCCCCGCATCTGGATGGAGTCTGTGATTGACCAGTGGGTACTCTCCATCATCTGGAAGGGACTTTCCCTCCCTCCCACTCACATTGCTTCTGTGCTTCCCCACTTCCCAAGACAGTGCAGAGACACCTTTCTTCTGTCATGACTCGTGACCTATTCAACATTTAGTGCACATAGGGGCAGTGGAACTGGTGCCCTTGGAATGGCATTTCCATGGGATTTATTCCATTCTATTTGTAGACTCAAAAAGATCCAGGGAATGGAGAGCAATTCTAAATCAAAGAGAGTTGAATCTATGGGTAAAGAAGCTCAAATTCCAGTTTGATTCACTTCTCTGCATTTTGCAGAGTATTCAGCAAAGTCAGCAGGACAATCACATGATGTCCTTAGACCTTCAAGATGCTTACCTGCACATTCTACCTTCCAGACAGTTCTTCCCTTTTTGATTTTCAGGGCCAGCATTTCCAATACAAGGTCTTACCCTTTGGGCTGGCATCATCTCAGAGGGTGTTTACCAAGGTCCTAGTAGTTCTAATAGGCTACCTACAACAAGAAGGAATCCACATTTATCTTTCCCTGGATGATATCCTCCACAGGAGGCAGAGGAAGTGAGCTAGGATACCAAATCCACTATGCAATCTCTTCAGGCACACAGCTGCCTGAGCAATGTGTAAAAAGAAAGGTCATCTCACACCCTCCAGAGACATAGTCCACTTAGGGGCCAGGATTCAGATGAGGATGGCCAAAGTGATTCTACTTGCAAAGAAGCAAGTAAAATTGTTGGAAGGGGTGAAAGAAATCCAGCAGAGGTCAGTGGACTTCATGCACTCGTTGATAGTACTGGAACTGATGATGTAGTCCATAGATGTGATTGCTTGGGCCCACTTCCACACCTGCCCTTTACAGTGGACTCTTCTTCCTTATCAGAAGGACACATACACACACAAAAAAGGAAGCACAAATAAGTCAAGATACTGCCCCCCCAAGACACTAAGCTAGTGGTCTTCGTGACCAAGTCTGGCAAGGGGAGTCCGTTTCCTCCAGCCTCCTTACCTGATGGTAATTACAGACACCAGCAAAAGAGGCCAGGGAACACACTGCAAGGATCAGATTGTCCATGGCTGATGGAGCTCGTTGGAAGAAATGAACAGTATGAACTGGCTGGAACTTGGGGCAATCAGACTAGTACTGATTGCCTTCCAGAACCTATCAAGGAACAAGTATGTTCTAGTGCACACAGTCAGTACTACAGCCAATGTGCACATCAGTCTCCAAGGATGCACCAAATTGATGGTGCTTCTCTGAAAGTCCACAATCTTGTTCAACTGGGCAGAGAAAAATTTAGTAGGTCTGAAAGCAGAACACCTATCTGGTCTTACAAACCTCCTAGCCAACTGGCTGAGCAGGAAAGATTTAGATCCAGGAGAATGGAGTCTAAACAAAAAGATCTTCTGGCAAAATCACGCTTTGTTTTGGGATTCCTATCTTGGATCTTTTTACGACATCGAACAACAATTAAATCACCAGGTTTTCTAACCAGTTCCTATGATCCCAGGGCAGAGGGTGAAGATGCATGCATTTGCCATTGACCCAATGGTCTGCTGTATGCCTTCCCACCAACCACACTGATCTGCTGAGGCCTGAACAAAGTGCCAAAGGATCCAATGGAGGTGATTTTCTTAACTCCCTCCTGGCACAGACATTTTTGGGTCTCAAATCTAGTGAAGATGACAGTATCTCCACCATGGAGATTGCCAAGCAGATGGGTTTTCCTTGTACAAGAATCAGTTCACTACCCAGACCCTATTTGTCTCCAAATGACAGTTTAGAGATTGAACAGGCAGATTTAGAAGGATTGGGCCTTCCAAGTTAAGTAGTTGAAATCATGGTGCAGTCCAGAAAACCTGCTTCCAGTTGTCTCTATAAGTGTACGTGGCAGACATTCAGGCAAGCCCAGGCAAGCCTAGTCTCGTCAGATCTTGGAAGCTAAGCAGGCTCAACTCCAGCTAGTACTTGGATGGGAGACCTCCTTGGAATACCAATAGTCGGGGGGGAGGCTTTATTCAGCCACCTCTCTGAATATCCTCGAGGCCCGACTTCCGGTTTTTGCCATTCTAATAGCGGACACGATCCATGAGCCGGCAGATGAGAGGGGGTGCGATTGTACGCGCGCCCCCTGGAGCCTTTGTGAAGGGCTCCTAGCCATGGGGTGCTAAGGTTCGCCTCTCCCCCGGCACGCTGCCGGTGGATTGAGGTGTTCCGATGCCCCGAAGGTCCTGCTGCTGCGTTCCAGTACTGGACTCAGAGACACACACCGGGACAAGCAAGTGGAGGTTGAGCGTTTTACACATTTGATGGCGAGAGCAACATGATCTACATTGAAAGTGAGTTTGGTTGAAATGAGAACCAGAGAAATGGCTGAAAGTCCCCCCTAAAGTAAGTGGGGGGGGCAGGAAACCCCCCCCTGGAAATAAAAACAGACTTAAAGCATGCATTTTAAAGGGGGGCGGAACTGAAAGCAAAATGGGACTATAGTAAGGAATTTACAAGAAAATTACAGGCGATTTGCAGACTTTAAAGACTTTTGGCAAACTTTGTAAAAGGTAAACCGCTTCAAAGATGTCACTGAAGAAGATGGAGAAAAATAAGCAAATGAAATCTAACCTTCCTTCAGGAAGTGCTAGCCCAGCGAGTGCGGTCACGTGACTGGAAAAGTAACTTTCTTTCCCACCATAGAGAACAATGGAGGGGAGGGGGCAACCTGTTTGGGGGCCCATAGAATTGGACCCCCTGGTCCAATGCTCTTGAAACGTGGTTGGTATCTTGGGGAGAGGCTCCAGCAGCTAACCTTTGAGTTTGGAGTCTCTCCCTCAAGTCCCCTCTCCTCCAGCCTCCAGAATATACCCTATGTTTTCGCCATTGACTTCAATGGCCTATAGGATATAATGGGGCTGAAATTGACATTCGGATGGCTGAAAGACTCCCAAATCCGCTTGTACTGATGAAACTGACATGCGGGAGCCTTACTGCCAGCCAAACTTGATTCTGCCTGATTCCGCCGAATCCGAATGGGCCAATTTTTTTTTTTTGCACACCCCTAACTGGGAGCCTTTCTAAAGTGTTACAGGCCTTGAGCAAACCTCCATTTGATCCTTTCAAATCATCAGAATCTAAAGTTTCCTCTTCAGAAGATGTCTTTTTTGTTGCAGAGATGACTTCTGCAAGAAGGATTTGTGAATTAGGGGCTTTATTGGCCAGGAAGGTATTGTGTATATTTCACAAGGTCTTGGTGGTACTCAGGAGGGATACTTCCTTTGTGCCAAAGGTATTTTCCCCTTATCATGTTAACCAAGAGTGGATACTACTGTCCTTTTGTCCTATATCATGTTATCCCAAAGAGAGAGTCTGGCACAAACTAGATGTGCACAGGCTTCTGTGTGTCTGCTTAAATAGGACGTTACAGGTTAGGCTAAAGGATTTTCTGTCAGTGTCTCACAGCCTTTAGATAAAAAAGTCTCAAGCCATGTATCTGAAAGGCATATGAAGTGCAAGGCCTGGGACCTTGAAAGGATGTTAATGGCCCACTCCACCAGATCTGCAGCAACATCAGTGACCTTTTTCACCGGAGTTCTGGTGGGAAAAAAATCTGTAGAACTGCAACCTGGTCCACCTTTTATACCTGTGTGTGCCAGCTCCTGCCAACCTAGCAGTTCGAAAGCAAGAAACTGCAAGTAGATAAATAGGTACCACTTCAGTGGGAAGGTAACAGCGTTCTGTGTGCCTTGGTGTTTAGTCATGCCGGCCACATGACCACAGAAATGTCTTCGGACAGCGCTGGCTCTTTGGCTTTGAAACGGAGATGAGAACCGCAACCCTAGAGTCGGATTCGACTGGCTTTCGAGCAAGGGAACCTTTACCTTTACCTGAGACACTATAGGTGGGACCAGCTAAAATCTGTGGAAGCTTCATCTAGTGGAAAGGTGTACAACATAGTGGTAAAATAAAAATGAGGATCCTACCCAGGTTGTAGTTTAGGCATATAACCAGTTTGGATGACTTCCTCCACTGAAGGAGAATGAAACACTTGGAACTCACCTGAAGGTTTCTTCTCTTCAGTGGGGCGAAGTCATCCACCACCACCCCCCCAAAAAAATTTAGTCAGACACAAAACCCGTTATGGATCTGGGCTATACTAAGACTGGAGGTTCAGCCTTGCTCTGAGCCAATACAGTCTACAGAAATTTGCATAGCCCTGCCTGGAGTGAGAGGAGGAGGCATGACCTAACCAGTTTAGATGACTTGGATGAAGAGAAGAAACCTTCAGGTAAGTTCCAGTGTTTCATTCTCTTTGCTGTGGCATAATGAACAGTTTATGATATTGGTCAATGTGTTATTTTTGTCTTCAGGGGCCTCACAGATGAGTCTGAAATTCTGAAGTTTTTGCAGCATGGCACACTAGTGGGGTTACTCCCTGTCCCCCATCCAATCCTGATTCGCAAATATCAGGCTAACTCTAGTACTGCTATGTGGTTCCGCACCTACATGTGGGGAGTTATTTATTTGAGGTAAGTAGGTTGCCTACAACCCAGCTACATCTCTTTCTTGCTAATAGTGTGTCTGATAAATTCCTTGAGTGGGAGCGGCCTGAAGTCTGCCTGGTTTTAGGTTAAATAGCTTAGACTTCCTCATATCAAGAGCTTGAGTGACACAGCTAATATTCAATTTTATATGTATAATTTACATAATATTTGTGTGTCATGCCATTGGTGCTTCTTATGCTGCTTTTATGATAAGCATATAGCCATGTTAGATTCTGGTGACCTAAATGGCTTTTAATTTTCAAGTAAACAATTCCTGCCATATCTTGCAGAGCGGCCAAACCTTCTTTCTAACCAAGGGTAACAAACACTTGGGGTTGAAATCGAATGAACCTAGAAATAAGGCAGTGTAATAATATTTAAAGGAAAATGTCAGAAATAGAAAAAGGAAAGTGTTTCTACCAGATCCACTGAAAACAACATGAGAAGTGGTAGATTTAAATTACAGAAAGGTACATTTTGAGGGAGACCTCAATAAAATATTCTTTAAATTCCATAACAAGCTGCCGCAGAGAGTGAGAAATCGCCTCCCTTGCATTGAGTCTAGATGATCTTTAGTTGAGGAACTGCAAGGATACCTGTGGCACAAATCACTGGGTTAGGTAGTTCCTTTGTGATTCTGTGAGCATAAAATTGTTAAAAAATTCATTTAGTTTTGGTTCTGTTAAATTTAAAACATTTGCTTTCTAAGTTTATTGTATGATACAATATGTATAAATATTATCTGTGATATACATGCGTGCATGTGCACAAACATACACACAAAATCACCCACTTCTCCAATAAATATCAATGCTTTCAGATTCCAGGGCATATGTTCCTAATCTTGATAGTATGGAATGACATAAAGAATAGTAACATTAAGCAAACTTGCAATCACTGTACTATTTAATAGTAAGTATTGTGGGCAGGAGTGTATGAAAGCTGCTATGAAGATCATCTTTCATAGGAAGACCTCTTCAGGCAGTTGGTAAAAACACTTCTTTTCCAATAGGCGTTTGACTAGGCTGGCTGACTGAACAGTTGGAAAACTCTTGTGAGAGTTTGGGGTGGGGGTTGTGAGTACATTCTAATCTATTTCTGGTAAATTGTTTGGATTTTAGAGTAACTGTATTATTTCAAGGTTTTTTTGTCTGCATGACTTTATAAGCTGCTTTAGGGCCTTGGCATGTCAAGGCAGCATATAAATATATTAATTCAGCTGACCTAACCATGCTAATGCATGCATTTGTTACCTCTGAGTAGGATTACTGTGACAAATCAGCATGTGGCTGCCCTTGCAAACAACTCAAACTGCAACTGGTTTAGAATTCAACAGCCCAGTTACTGTCAGGGCAAGCTGGTGGTACATATCTTGCCCTTTTAAGACACGTACACTGGGTACCAGTCTGTTTCCAAATTCAGTTCAAGGTTCTGGTTATTACCTTTAAGGCCTTTCATGGGCTGGGACCCACATATTTGAAGGACTGTCTCTTGTCCTGTGCATCAGTTGTGTTCATCAGGCCAGTTTCTTCTGTCTATTCCCCCACGTAGGGCTGTCTGTCTGGCATCTGTCAGGGCCTGTTCCTTTTCAGTGGTAGCTCTCACTTTGTGAAATGGGCTCCCAGATGAGGTAAGGAAAACACCTCCACTAGAGGTTTTTCGGAAACTGTTGCAAGCAATGCTCCTTCTAAGCTGTGGAGTCTTGTGGGCAAAAATTCTACTTTTTGAGCTGCTGGCATTAAAGTTGTGAACAAGTGATTTGGCTACTGCATAAATTAGTTTGCTCTGGAGCCATCCTTCCTGAGTGAAGGCAACAATGTGTGAGCCGGAGGCTAAAAAACTGTGAGCTAGCTCACACAAACTCAGCTCAGAGGGAACACTGGTTGCAAGGTAGTTGTCAATGAGAGGCAGTGGAATTTTTGTGGTCTTATGTGATTTTGTTATGATTTTTGATGAAATATACTAAGCCACCTTCAACCCGTGTAGGAAAAGGTAGAGGTATATTTTAATTAGTAAATAAAAGATCAGTATAGTTGCATTGTAACCTTCTGTGTGTCTGGACATGATAAAGATGTGGGCATGTTCCTTACTTGTGCTAAAGATAACTGCTTAAGAGACTGTAAGAGGCTCTGAGGTGGTTTAGTCTGCATTAGATGTCTGCGATGAGTCCAACAGATCTTTGTGGTGATTTGTTACATTTTTTCCATGGAGAGGAATGTTGGTGGGAAAATTACTTTTTAGTAGGAAAACAAGCGGAAGGAAAAGGTGTTACAAAATTTTGTGACAGAAAAAAAATGTGTGGGGACTTCATGTGACTGAATATTACATGTAGTTTAGTCCTCAGTATCCTTGGGTTTATTAATCTCTCTTAATTACGAAGTGCTTAGGGCGTTGTGACTGTCCTAGATCAAGTTGTGTTTAACATGTATGCTTGTTTTCAGAAATGTGGATCCTCCCATCTGGTACGAGACTGATGTAAAGCTGTTTGAAATTCAGCGCGTCTGAAGAATGGGAATAGAGAGCGAATTTGTCTCTGTTGAACACTGGAAACAAGGATCTTGCTGTGCGCTTCTACATCACAGCTATTCCTTCATTTCACTGCCTGCTAAATGAAGCAAAGGACAATTGCTTCCCTTTACATATCTGCCACTTTAAAGCTAAGAGACCCGCCCTAATGACCTGCTTCCAGCTTCTCAAGGAATGTTAACCGAAGGATGTACTAGGACAGGCAGCTTTGGTGGTTGCTGTAGTGATGTTTCATGCTTACGTTTCTGGAGTAATTCTGAACCTGACTAGATAATCTGAGAAGCAGATGTCTCACTGTCTAGTCAGATTCAGACTCTCAATTGAAAAGAAAAGCTAAATGTAAAGAGTTATAAAACTGGACCAATGAAGGAAGTGCTACTTCAGGTAGTTCTGTGGTTCTTCTCCAAAGAATGTAGCCCAACCCTTTAATGTTCCAGGCATCTTTGACACTGTACCTAGCCAGAGTGGGGCAGCAGCTTCATTTGCTTACTTAGGTGACTATGGGATTCTATTTACTTAAATCTCTTCAGGTTCTTTTGGGTTTGGTTCTCTCTTCTTGGGTTTTGAAATGCACTTAACTACTTTATATCTGATGCCGTAATGCAGCATCTAAATTCTAATCTACCCCCACCCATTTTAGAGGCTATCTTGTTGAAGATGGATGTTTGTCCAAGTCCATTGCACATCCTCTTTAATCTGTGTTTAATGTAAGCCTGGAAAGGAAGGTCTGCTTCATGGGGCAGCATAAAACAAATTCAACCTTGCTCTGTGGTAAGAGTAGTTTATTTTCTCTCCAACCTTCCAGTTTCCTGTAGCTCAAGGTAACTTGGGAAAGAATTGTTGTAGAACTAGGTGGCCTACAATGGAACACCTCAAAATGGTAGGAAGAACTAGCAGGTGCTACTTTTCAGGAGTTCAGAGGGAATATTTCTGTTGCATTGAATATGAAAAGACTGGCAGTATGGTAATTGGAGCAAAGCTGCCTAGTGTTGCTCCTAGTCATGGCTGACCAAGCTAGACCATAATAGATGCAAGGTTAAAAAAAGTTAGGAATTTCTGTCTAGCAGAGTTCTTGAGGGATTGACATGGACTGATAATTAGAATGCATGTCTTGGAGCAGGAGACTAAGTTACCCGGTCCTTTGCAAACATGGGGCCACAGAACAACAGATGCATTTATTGGCTTGGTTCCTGCTTGCTGCAGAAGGCCTACAGTGTGTAAATACCGCTGTATATGGCTGTTCTCATCTGCCATCCTCAGACTTGAAGAACTTAAGGTAAAGGTTTGTCACCCCAACCCCATGTGTCATAGAAAAACAACAGTAGGTTTGCCAGTTAGTATTAATGCAGTTTACTTATTTTGTTCAAGAAGAGAATATTTTGGGATCTATATACCGAAGGCTAGTCAATATTTGAACAAAGTAGGCAAATTCCAGATATTACCTGGAACTTATTCTAGATACTTTGAAAGTCAAAGAATAGATGGAAAGTTCTTTTTCTGTCTCGCTTGCCTCTTCAACTCATGGAATTCTCTCATTTCAGCTTCCCTCTCTACTCATTTGACCATTTTCCCCACTGACAGAAGTCAATAACTTCCTTCAGTATTTTCCGTCTTCAGATGTGATTGCTCTAGTAAGGGGGCTGCCTGATTATACTACATTTGTATCTTGCATCAGGTGGGAAGGTTCTCCCTGTCAGACACGGGTCGCTCTGTTCTCCCCATCCCCTCACACATGCACACAGGGACACTTTGTGATGTCACATCTTTTTGTTTTGTGACTGTATTTTCCTTGTGAATTTATCAGGAGTTTTGCATTCTTTGGTGTTGCAGGTCTGATCTTTGTTCAAATTTGCACTGTAAACTATTTGCTTTACATATAGAGATAAAATTATCTTAAACACTGCAACTGGCTTTACTCAGTCTGTATCAGAAGAGGTTTATGAGCTTGTTTGTGTTACTGTTTGATTTATGATGACCTGGCATCCTTTGCAACATGTACCTTTCCATTAAAGGCATGGCTGCACATGAACTCCTGGTTCAGCACTAGACTACTAAAGGAAGCAGCACCAGGGAGAAAAATGGTCTGCTACAAAGGATTTGCACAGTTCTTTGTGTCTGCTGCCTGTCACACGGACACGGGATGGTGTGGGTGCTGGGTGCAATGTTGCTTCACTGGGCTAAAATGTGCAGAATGAATGCACTAATGGAGTGATATGTGAGGTGAGAACTTTCATGTGAAACTGCAACACTTTTCTGGCTGAAGAATTTTAATGCTTACATTTTCAAATGTTGAATGGGGTAATTAGAGCTTGATCTGGTGAACCCGTTTAGTCTTGGCTGTGATAAAACAGATCCAGGACTATGTGCCTGCCCTTGCATGTCCGTTGTTCTCTTTTTGCAGTGTTCTCCATCTAAGAGCTAACCTTCAGTCAGTTCCTTTGATGGGTTCCCATGCTTTAAGCTGGGAGGCATGGGGTAATAATTAACTGCTAAGGGTACTAATTTATCCTGCTCTTATTTCTTCTGACAGTTCCTATTGACATAAGGTTCAGTGAAATTAGCATAGACTGCAAAGTCCAAATTCATTCAACCTTTTATCTTCCTATATTGAAGAGAAGTTGTCCAGATAGTGTTGGAAGGAACACAGATTGGAATGTGGGCAGAAGGTCCTTGGGGATTAAATAAGCCTTTTATAACCTAGTTTGGCTCTTTCCCCCCCTTTTCCTTTTTAAAGATAAAACTTCAGAAAGCCAAGTCCCCAGCCCTAACTAAATAGCTCTTGGGGAGTAATTTATTTTACAGTACAGCAATAAAATGGCAAGTGTTTACACTTCCATCTATTAGCTCTCAGCAACAAGAAGAATGTAGATAGTACTAAAAGATGAATTGATCACAAACCTGGGACCAGCCTTTAATCCTTTATATAATCAATCACCAGGCTGAGTTGAGGCTTATTATAACTGAAGGGCAATTTTCCATTGTTTCCCTTTTGCTTCGCTTTGCCCTGAAAGCAGGGTGAAAGAAAGACACTGTAGCCAACAAACCTCTAGCAGTCAATTCACATGAACACATGAAGCTGCCTTATACTGAATCAGACCCTTGGTCAATCAAAGCTGTCTTTTGTCTGCTCAGATCAGCAGGGTCTTTTACATTACCTCCTACTCGATCCTTTTAACTGGAGATGCCGGAGATTGAACCTGGGACCTTCTGCATGCCAAGCACATGCTCCACCAGTGGAGATGCTGTTTGTTTTAAAAAATATAATAACTGAACAGATCTCAGAAGTAGAATTATGACCTTCCCTTCTATCCACTGCCTTGAAGAAAAGACTAAAAAACTAGTACTGGTTAATATAAGATTCTGTCCAAGTGTTTCTGAATGTTATTTCTGATATTACTTTTGAAAGACATAATATTGGGTAGAATTCAGATGGGTAGCCATGTTGTTCTGAAGCAACAGAACAAAATTTGAGTCCAGTGGCACCTTTAAGAAGTTTTATTCAAGGTGTAAGCTTTTGTGTGCATGCAGAATGTATCTGAAGAAGTGTGCATGCACACAAAAGCTTATACCCAGAATTAAACTTTGTTGGTCTTAAAGGTGGCACTGGATTCAAACTCTGTTCTATAATATTGGGTAGTTAGACCCATGTCTAAAGATACATGAAAGCACCAAGATCTTTGTCGTGGTCTCTGTGCTTCACACCAATGGGATTCAGTGCGCACGCGCTGGATCGATCGGTGCTTTAGCAAGCTCTTTCAACGGATTTTCGCGCCCAGCCCCCCGGGCATGCACAGGAACCCCACTGTGCATGCCCAGAGGGTGTGGGCGCGGACATTCCGCCAGTTCCTTTCTTACCGCCGCGTTGGAAAGACCTTTTTCCTTCTCGGTCTGATCGGATCGCTGTTAGCCTCGCTTTTAGCTTCGTCTCACAGCTCTTTGAAGTTATTTTTCTAACCTGTTTTTCACTTTCAGTTCGTTTTTAGTTGTTTCCTCTTTAAAAAAAACTTTTTTTTCTTCTGAGGGGAATTTACCTCAGGCCTTCGGGCCACCCCCCCCCTCAACTTTTTTTCTTCAGTTCTCTTCTTATGGAGAAGTGAGGATTTTTCAATAGATGCAGAAGTTGTGGTAGCAAACTTGCTCCTCCTGATCTTCACACCCTCTGCATTTTTTGCCTTGGAGAGTCTCACGGCCCTTGCTCCTGCCTCAGCGATGGAGGAGAGACCATCTACATCGACAGCTCCGGCATCAAGACCTGCGTCCGCTGTCAGTCGCCCGATACCGAAGCCCTCGACATCGAAGACACGATCGCCTCTATGCCAATTTAAAAGAAGGCTAAGGCAAGTACAGAGCATAAGTCCGTGAAAAAGGGCACCTCCAAGTCCCTTAAGGCGGCGAAGAAGGGGAAGGAAGCGGTGCCTGCACTGGGTGATGCCCCTATAGTGCCTCCCGCTCCACCGGCAGTATCGATATCGGAGGCCCAAGTCCCTCCACCAATACCGACCATCCATGTATTGGACTCCCCTGTCCACCAAACTGAGCCTCCTTACTCCAACATCAACATGGCGGAGCTCCTAAGTCACCAAATGGGTGCAGAGCTTTCCCCCGCTCCTTCGACTTCGTCGGCATCGACGGTATCGAAAGGTCCCAACATCGATCCACGTCGGCACCGATATACCTTATGTGACACGCAGCGTCACCCTCCACGTCTGCACACTCAGTCTGCCGATATCGACACCTGCGACTACAGGGACAACTCCAACAGACACGCCACTACCGTGTCTCCCAGACGTCCATGGACCAGAAGTCACTCCCCAAGAGTCTTCCTGCCTCCCCCTCCACCAATGGCGTGGGATGAAAGACAGTTGCGGTACCTGTATGGGGCTTATCCTCCATCCATGCCATGGTTGACTCCTGTGGGCTATTCTGAGTGGGATCACTATTCATCTCGTTCTGCTTATAGGTCTAGGTCTCCTCACAAGTCGAGACCTTCAACATCTCTGTCATGTCCTCCTGCAGTTGAGCCATCCCATCATACCATGGAACCTAAACCTGTCGTTCCTGTCATCCAAACAAAACCCGTAGTCTGTCAACAAGGCACCTCGGTCCACACAGAACAACACAATTCTTCTGATTTCATCGAGGAGGACTCAGATACGGAGGCTTCTGAGGCTCACACCTCTCCTGACCATGCATCTCCAAATCAGGATGTCACGGAGGATTTACCTGTATCTCCATCTGACAACCTCTTCATACACTGATCTAGTAAAAAGGATGGCCCACTCTTTAGGCCTCTCTGTTGTCCAACAACATCTGCAAGCAACGGATTCAGTTTACGATGTTGTACAACTGGATACATCTTCCACCTTGGCATTGCCTATGTCTTTTACAGACAGCGAAGTCTCCATGGCTCAAACATTCATCCGCTCCTGTTTCCACAAGAAAGCTGGACCACATGTACAGGGTCCAAGAGTCAGAGGCCGAGTTTCTATTCTCACACCCTCAGCCAAACTCCATGGTTATAACGTCTTCCTCGAAATCCAAGAAAATGCATTCAACCCCTTTGGATAAGGAAGGAAAAAAATTAGATGCATTTGGCAGGCGCTTTTATTCCGCGGGCGCATTGGGAGTCAAGGCCACTAACTACCTGACCTGTATGAACCGGTATCAGTATACTCTCTGGGAATGGTTCTCAGAGCTACTCAGCCATCTCCCAGATGATAAAATTCAGGAAGCCAGACACTTACAAAAAGAAGGCATGGTGTTGGCAAAACAACAGCTCAACACTACCAAACATGTCCTCGAGGCATCTTCAAGAACCATGGCTTCTGCAATAGCTCTCAGGAGACATTCCTGGCTTCGCAACACTACTCTCCCATTAGACACCAGATCTTATGTGGAAGACCTCTCCTTCGATGGCCTGGGGCTTTTCAATGCAGCAACTGACTCTACTCTACAAGAGTTGGATAAGAGCATTAAAGTGTCTCGAGCGCTAGGTGTCTCATCCTCTGCAAGGCAACAATACCGCCCCCGCACCTGGTCCAGGTCCTGGCAGAGATGCACCCCAACTCATCAGTCTCCAGACACAAGGTGGAGACCAAGAACTTCTTCAGGAGGCCAAAAGCCCGCCTACCAAAAGCCAAAGTTCGGTTCCGGACAATAAGTTTCCCGCACCAAACAGCCCAAGCCCTCCAAGCAGGTTTTTTGACTTTCCTGTCACCGAGTCAGCTCATACCCGTCTCTTTCCTTTTATCCATGCCTGGCGTCTCATCACCTCAGACGAGTGGGTCCTGTCCATCTTGACCTAAGGTTACAAAATTCAGTTCCATCAGAACCCCAATACTCCGGTCGTCGTCTCCACACCCCCTTCCCTACCTCTCCTCGAGGAGGTGGCCATCCTTCTGCAGAAGGGAGCCATTGAGACTGTACCACCACACCTCCAAGGGACGGGATTTTACTCCCGATACTTCATGGTCCCGAAGAGAGACGGAGGCCTTCGACCCATATTAGATCTCAGGGAACTGAACTGTTTTGTGACCTACCACTACTTCCGCATGGTCTCTCTACAACAGATCATGCCACTGCTTCGCAGACATGTCTGGATGGCCACCCTAGACCTCCAAGACGCATATTTCCACCTTACCATCCACCCCTTCCACTGCCAATACCTACGCTTTGCAATTAGCCAACACCACTACCAATACACGGCCCTTCCATTCGGCCTTTCCAGTGCCCTGAGAGTTTTCACAAAGACCATGATTGTGGTTGCAGCTTTCCTACGTCTCCGAGGGGTGTCCGTCTACCCATACATAGACGATTGGCTTCTGGTGGCTCCTTCACAACATGCCCTGGTCTCGAACGTAACAGAAACTCTGTCACTACTGGACAACCTAGGCCTAAAGGTCAATCAAGTCTCACCTGTGTCCTGTCCAGCGAATACAATACATCAGCGCTATCCTGGACTCAAACACATGCATGGCTTTCCTACCTCCAGACAGGGCCGCAGACATCATTTCCCTAGCCACCGTCGTCCGTACCCAACCCTCAGTCACCACCTTCCAAATCCAGAGGCTGCTCAGTCTCATGGCTGCGACTACGTCGGTTCTCGTCTTTGCAAGACTCAAAATGTGTCCCTTACAACTATGGTTCATTCGCAACTATGACCTGTCGAAGAACGCACACACTGTCGTCCTATCCCCTCCTCCCAGCATACAGCACTCTTTACTGTGGTGGACTGTCCCTTCGAATCTCCTTCAGGGAGTGCCCTTCCACCCTCCGTCACCCAAGGTCACCATCACGACCGATGCTTCCCTAACGGGTTGGGGTGCACACTCCATGGGCCTTTCTGTTGGAGACAAGTGGAACACACATATGAGGAACCGTCACATAAACTTCCTTGAACTCCTGGCCATACAATATGCTGTAACCAGTTTCCTCCCCTTAATCAAGGGAAAATGTGTCACGGTCCTAACGGACAACACCACAGCGGTATCCTACGTCAACAGACAGGGGGGCACAGTGTCCCTTCACCTCTGCACCCTGGCAATCAATTCGTGGGAGTTTTGCATCACCAACGGAGCATTCCTCGTGGCTACTCACATCCCTGGACACATGAACGTGCAGGCAGACCATCTAAGTCGAGCAGGACTCAGCCTTCATGAGTGGGGGATGAACCCATCATACCTCCTCCCACTCTTCCACAGGTGGGGAGCTCCCCAAGTCGACATTTTTGCCACAAGGAACAACAAAAAGTGTCCTCTGTTCTGCAGTCGGGGAGGCAACGACCCACAATCTCTGGGAGATGGCCTCCTTTACCCTTGGTCCATGGGACTCCTTTACCTGTCCCCCCCCATACCTCTGCTTCTGAAAGTGGTCCGCAAAATACTCAAGGACAACGTGGACTGTATCCTAATAACACCATGGTGGCCAAGACAACCTTGTTTTTCAACGATCCTCGAGCTATCGCGGGGGATATACCATCAGTTCCCCCCGGCCCCGGACCTACTCCTTCTCTCAGACTCCCCCGTCCTACATCACAATATACCACAGTTGAAACTGATGGCATGGCAGATACCATCACAGGCTTCTCCTCCCGTGTAGTGAACGTCCTTTTAAATTCTAGGAAGCCTACTACTCGGAAGTCCTACGACTATAAATGGAGAAGATTCTGTTCTTTTCTGAGTGGCCTCGAAAGAGTTTTCAGTTTCCTTCTTTCTTTAGCTGACTCAGGACTTTCCCACTGTTCGTTAAGAGTTTACTTAGCCGCTCTGTTGGCTTTTCATGTTCCTGTTGACGGATGTAGTTTGTTTGCGCATCCAATTTCCAAACGTTTTTTTAAAAGGTTTGCTTCACTTTTACCCTCCTGTCAAGACTCCAGTCGCTCCATGGGACCTTCCTTTGGTTCTATGCCAGCTCACAAGGGAGCCCTTCGAACCACTCGCAACATGTGAACTCAAACTCCTAGCGTGGAAAACGTGCCGAAGGTGGTGTCAGAGTTCCACCTGCAGGTGGAGGTCTTCCTTCCTGACTTCTTCCCAAATCCAACATCAGAGGAAGACAAACTACTCCACATCTTGGACGTGAAGCGGGCTCTCCTTTTCTATCTCACCAGAACGCGCCCAACTAGACGAGAATCACAACTATTTGTCTCGTATGCTTCACCACGCCTGGGCACTCGCATCACGGCCCAGCGCCTGTCAAAGTGGATTGTAGGTCTAATCCATTTATGTTACCTACTCGCCAAACAGCCATTGCCTGGCCCTATCAGGGCTCATTCTACCAGGGCTGTCGCAACTTCCACTGCCTTCCTCCAGGGAGTACCACTGCAAGACATTTGCAAAGCCGCTATGTGGGCCACGCCTAACACTTTCATCAGGCACTACGCCCTAGATGTCTGTACCAACACCAGTAACGACATGGGACATCACATTCTGTCTTTGGCTACGCAGTAAAAGACCTGCCAGCACCCTCCTCCAGGTAGGCTGCTGCTCGCTAATCTCCCATTGGTGTGAAGCACAGAGACTACGACGAAGATAAGCAGGTTGCTTACCAGTAACTGGTGATCGTCGAGTGGTCATCTGTGCATTCACACCACCCACCCTCCTTCCCCGCTGCTGTCAGCCTCTACATTTTTGAATAGAATTGATTTGCGGCAGTTTGTAGGAACTGGCAGGATGTCCGCGCCCTCCCCCTCTGGGCATGCGCGGTGGGGTTCCTGCGCATGCACGGGGGGGCTGGGCGCGAAAATCCATTGAAAGAGCTTGCTACAGCACCGATCGATCCAGCGCGTGCGCACTGAATCCCATTGGTGTGAATGCACTGATGACCACTCGAAGATCACCAGTTACTGGTAAGCAACCTGCTTTTACATGTCTAATGAGGCCACTTAATAGGGTAAGGTTCCAACAGAATCTCTGAAAACAGTATGTCTTAGGAGAGATGTATGGTTTAATATATGTTTTAGGCATGATCGGCTTTCTCAAAGAAATTTATGGGATGACTTTAAGGAATAAACTTTTTAGTCTCTGTGTGATGGCTTTGGTGTGCTCATGGTGGGTGATAATTTTATCCTATTACTGTGATGCCCAAGTTAGCTTCCACATCTTCTGACCCTTATGCTTTAGGGTCAGCAATTATTTAGCGTCATAATCATTAGACATTATAATGTACGCAAAATGTTGCAATTCTATAATAAAGTGCCACAGGGTATGTGCATTTCTTATAACAGGCTGTTTACCAGCAAGCTTTGGTCTTATTTTTTACTGGAATTTTTATTTTTTACTGGACTGTACAAAACAAGATAACAAATCTCCCCTTGTGAAAGCCTCATAAAGTAATGCCCCCTAGGAATTCCTGGGTCTGTATGTTCAGTATTTTACTGCAGCATCTATATACAAAGAACTGAGTTTGATTCAGGCTGACCGATACACCTCCAGAAGATCACCAACTGAATGCATTCTGTAGAACACACCCAAGGGCAGCCCAAAATTGACGATAGCAAACCAGGTGGAGTAGCCATAAAATGATTTTTCTAATCCATTCTCAAACTCTGGATGTGCTCCAAAGGATGGCATGATCCATAGCTATAAAGGGTTGTGAAAAGAGAGCAGGAGTTAGAGGGTTATTGTTTGTGCTTTAATTCAGTGTTACTGTAACTTTGTCTTAATTCAGGTCTCTGTTTCTTAGTTTGCCCTTTTAGTGTGTCCTGAAAACTGTTACTTATTTGCAAAATCCATCAACACATTTCTGATCCTGACCCTGTCCCATATTATGGAATGTCATGGCAGTGACTTTTCACCCCTACTCCAGATCCCTTTTCAGATGTTTGATTTTAGCACTTCAGCTGCATGCATGACCTTGGTCACTGCTTTGTGTAAGTGGGGCAACACATGCATTTTCCATGCAAATGCAGCTTTGCTATGTGCAAACAGCACACTAGATTTTTGAGAGAACGTGTTTGCATTTACCAAAGCTATATGTATACAGAAAATATGTAGATTTCCCTGTTCATACAAAAAGGTGACCATGCATACTGGGAGAATTGAACGTAGCACATGCTCCCCATTATGCATAGCTAGAGCACCAAAATTCAAGTCTATAAAAGGGCTATAATCTCCTCTAGGTATGACTTGTCTGACATTGCTTCTGTTGCTAGCCTCTCCCCTTTCTTTCTGTAAATCCCATCCTACACCATAAATTTCTATAGTTGGTTCTTCTGTTGGTTTCCCCACCCCCGGCCCATTTTGGATTATTTTCCCTACAAATCTGACCATGCCAGCACCCTCTGGGCTTGAACTAAAGCAGGGGTGCCGAACTTATTTGTTTTGAGGGCTGGATTTGACATAAATCGGACTTTGTCGGGCTGGGCCATGTGTGTCATAAAATGTAATGCCAGGTAGCAGAGATATAAACTTTATAAAGGACACAGAAAAACACAAAGATATTATAACAGCTATTCCATTGGAGCCCCATATTAGGAGGGTGTATGTGTTAAAACTAATATTTATCTTCGAAACTGAATTTCCTTGAGTTTGTTGATTTTATTTTAGTTTATTTTAAGTGTGGTTAGTCTCAAACCTCCCCCCCCCCCAAAAAAAAATAAACTAGAAGAAGAAGAAGAGAAGAAGAGATTGGATTTATACCCCGCCCTTCACTCGGAATCTCAGAGTGGCAGTGGCTCTCTAGTCTCTCAGGGATTTTTTTTTTACAGGGTGGTTTGAAATAATTTTGCGTGTCCTCTTCAGCACTTGTTCTGCTATTATTCCTTTGGAGCTTCACATTAGGAGGTTGTGTGTGTTAAAACTAATATTTCTCTGCAAAACTTGAGTCCCTTAAGTTTGCACAATTCTATATTTTAACCCTGGTTGGTCCCAACCCCCCCGCCCCCCAAAAAAACACATACCTGTCTAAATTGGAAAGGTGGGGAAATAGTGGGATTTTGCAAAGTCTTAAAATAAAAAAGAAGCACAAGGATCACAGCAGAAGGACACCCCCCCCCCCGCTC